TCAAAGGTTTTATTCTTTTCTCAAAATACTAGTGGTAGTGTAAAATCACCATTACACACATATTTGGATGAACCATTGTTAGATATGGTTACATTTAGAAGTTTGAATGTTGTGGCATATCGGAATCACACAATTCAAGCCGTTTTAAAGAGTTGATGGCCATGGCTTGTGATGTTTTAACATTCCTATCACAAATAGTCAATGTTCAAAAACTCGGTCTAGTCTCCGTCTAGACGTCCGCCTGGGCACTTAAACCTACAGTTCCGAAACGATTTTTCTTAAATTGGTATGTTAAATCGGAAACTCGGTTTAAATAGTTTATTTCGGTTAAAATTGGTTAAATCTCTTAATATATGGCTTAGTATTTAATTAAATTGTTTAATTAACTGCTGGTTTCCTAATTACGACATCGTATTATAAAATCAAATAATTTTTTTTAGTTAAATAAAAACAAAAAGCAAAATCTAAACGTGATTAAGGTTTAATTATATCAATGTTTCTACTTAACTTCTTTCTGCTACTCTACTTTATTTTCTCTATTTAAAACTTCAGTTTTCAAATCTCTTATTGATTTTTTTTATTTTGTTACTCATTTTGCTCTGTTTCAACTCTGGTTTTAGCCATATTTTATATAATTAACTTTACATATTTACTAAATTTTTACAAGAGAATATAATTAATTAGTAAAAACTAATTTAAATTTCTCATTTTTTAATATAGATGATATTCAATTTGAGAATTTGACTATACCAAATAAATCTAACATAACATTTTAAAATAAAAATTATAAAAATATAAAAACAAATAATAAACGTCTAGACCCTAATTAAACCCTAATTTTTACGATTAAGCGCTAGACTTTTATTGAACGACTAGGTGCTGCCTAGCGATTTTTTGAACATTGCAAATAGTCAAACCATTTACCATTGATATCTTTCAATAACACACTTACCAAAGATTAACTCATCTTCTATCTTACCAAACTCATTATTAAATGACTTTTTCTTTTTTTACATTAAATGAGTTTTTATCATTTGCAAGTTAACTGATAGAGTCACGCGTGACGTTCGATAAATTTAGTTACCACCCCTAATTGGTAAATGTGTGTTAAAGTCAAATTAGCTTAAACTCTCTTTTTTAGCTAAATTAACATTCTAATAGGTGGGGTTTAGTGTTATTTTAATATGATTTATTTGTTTGTGCTCAATATTTTTTTTTAAAATATAAGCAACACAGGTTAATTAGTATCACAAAAACAAGAGAGTGAAAACTAAATATTAGTAAGTCATAGATAATGCTTTAATTTCTTGAGAAATAGTTATTAACAACATTGCAAAACAAAAACATGAAATCAATAACTAGTATTATCATCCTATATTATTGTTATACTGATAAAATAATTCAAATTTATATTCAGAAACAATCCTAACATGAATCAATTCACAAAAGAAAGTATTACAAAAATGAAAAAAAAACGTAATAAGTACTTTGTTGTTTGTTCTTATTGGCCAAATTTTGCCTCTAAGTTTGACTACTTCTACCAAAAAATAATAGTCAAACTATTTACCATTGACTATCTATTAATAAACACACTTTCCAAAGAAGAATTCGACTCAGTGTCTTACCAAAACTAACTTCTTCTGTTTTTCAAGTGATAATATTTGTATTTTGTAGGACTTCATTTCTTTTATAATTATAATCTAATATTTAAAGAATTATATAATATTTGTCATTACACATGAGAACTAAAGACCACAAGAAAATAGTTTCATAATACAACAAAATGTTTTTAGGAGCTGAGAATGTTGACAATAATATATATATATATATATACTATTCTATTATATAAGAACATTTACTTCAAAAATTTACAAAATAAATAACATTAAAGTCTATGTAAAAAACTCACTTGTTTGTTTTATCTATACTATTAAAAGAGAATTCTATTTTTAAATTAACCTTTAGTTTTTTTTTGTCAATTAACCTTTAGTTAATGTGTTAATTATAATATATGCCATTACATTTTTATAGATTCATTAAATGTAATTTAGTCTTATCATTAAACTGTTAATAAATACATTAAATTAAATGAAATTATATTAGTTTGTTAACAGATAATATCAATAAATCATATTTGATACTAATAAAATTCTAATTAATTTACTTTTAAAATTATTATAAAATCTTTCATAATATCTTAACATAACTACCACATATATATGGTATGAATAACTAATATAATTATATATATTAGATGATTTGAATATATATTATATTATAATCAACTTCTTTCCTATAGTATTAAAAGAAAAGCACTACATTAAAAAATTTAAAAATTAATATGGTATTTACTAAATATGATAGTTTATAGTCAATGATGAATATATAATCATTATTTTTTGGTTACATATATACATACTATGAAAAAAAAATTATGTAAATAATTTACTTTTTCTGCTTTGTTAAATATTTTTTTGTGGGAAATCATGGATTTGCAGATTTGACAAACATAATTTTGTAGATGTTACGGGTTTTATAAATTTTGACAACAAATGTGCTTTTGTAGATTTAGCAGAAACACATAATTTTTGAAATTTGGTCATAAATCACGATTTTGTAAATTTTATGAGTTTATGGGAAAATACGGGTTTGCAAAATGCGAATAACGCAATTTTGCAGATTTGGGTTTTACAGGTTTTAGCGAAAAAATATTGGTTTGTGAGTTTGGCAGAAACACATGAGTTAAAAAAATTTGGTCGTAAAACACAATTTTATGGATTTTATAAAATTATGGAAAAACACGGGTTTTTGTGGATTTAGTAGAAAATATGATTTTGCGGATTTTACGAGGTTTACATATTTTTGTGGGTTTTATAGGTTTTGAAGGAAAATGTGGGTTTATGAATTTTATTAAAAATGTAGGTTTGCGGGTTTGACGACAAAAATACAATTTTACAAGTTTGACAAAAACTACTTAATTTTAGAAATTTAGCCATGGAATACGATTTATGATGCTGGGGGAAAACATAATTTTTGGTTTTGTTAAAAATGTGGGTTTACAGTTTTGGCCGGAAAATACGGTTTAATGGAAAATGCTATTTTTACAGTTTCTACTAGAATTTTTGGTTTTTGTACAACAACGTGATTTTACGATTTGCGGAAAATGGCGACTTTTTATTTCGATAGAAAAAAATAGTTTTGACAAAAAAACTTGATTTTGTGGTTTAAATTAAATAATATTTTTATCGGTTAATTTTTGAGATTCAAATACTGCATTAAATCTCTATTTTTAGCATTTTAAATATCTAAATTTTGAAATATTATAGAATTTGTATTCAGATAAAATATTCATATACTGATTTAAAAATATTTAAAAGAACAATATTTGAGAGGATTTGCATCCAAATAAGTATTTGGAGGTAAAACAAACAAAGCCTAAGAATCTTAATTACAAACAAATAAATTTCTCTTGCATTATAAAACATAATATTTTAAAATATTTGTTACAAAACTTAACAAAAAATCCGCTAATCAAACTATTTTTTTTATAAAATCAAGTCTAAATAATTTTAAGAACAAAAATAGTTTATATAATATAATAAAAAAGTTCTGTTTGGACCACAATTTTATATTTAATAATATAGGCTTATTTTTTTTCCAACAAAAAATTACTATAAACCGAATTTTACTATGATCTAAAAATATTTTATTAAAAAAAATCCGCGCAAGTGCCCGGGTCCAAAATGTTGATAGTTTACAAAATAAACAACATTACCACTGGTGGTAATAGATTAGTGGCTAAACGCAGAAGTTGGTTTTATTGTGCTTCTAATTATGTCCTTATTCCCAGCCCAAAGAGATTATAGATCTTACTCCAAAACTTTTTAGCATTCAAAAAAATGCTTAGACATGCATTTGGTTATAACTAGCTAGTTTGGTAAGACTATTTTTTTGTAAACTCTGATCACTCATGTATAATCTCTTATCTAAATACTAAACATGTATAATATCTGATATAAAAAAAACTATAAATATATTTTTTATAATTACTAAATCTTATTTATTTTAGGATATTTTTAGTAAAAATCATCAGTTGACTAGAAATTTAAGTTTGTGATATATAAAGCTTGGAAATTAGATAGATAGAAAAAATAAATAATTTTTAACCAAAAAACTCCTTTCTATTTGATTTAATTACAAAAGTGTCATTGGTCTGATAAATCAACAGTGTTGATGACATAAAATCTTAACAATACTATTCATTTATTACTCGACAACATTGTTCACAATATTATTATTATGCAATAACATATTAGAAAATTTAGCATATTAGGAAGATAGCATGATAAACTAATTAATATATGATTAAAAATATGAAATTGTCATATTAATTCAGTTATTATTTTACAAATTTATGATATTCATAGAGTTATCTCTATTACCGATGTGTAAACAAATTATTATATCATAGAAATGTGTATTATTGTTTAGATAACTTTGTTAATTTAGAAACATTATATGATGTTATACTTATAACAACTTAGCTAATATTGTTATTACTTAACTATTAATGTTGTCGCCTTTACTATTCGTGTTAGTGTTATCTTCGTGTTACCGTCACCACCATCCATTACTGCTATCATTGTGATTGTCATTACCGTCTACCATATTACTGTTATCATCACTGTTGCATAGCGCTATCTATATTGTTGATACTATTATTGTTACATTCATCAACATCTATCAATATCTACCAATATTCTGTAATCTAAAAAGAAAAAAATATAGTATTAGTAATAAAGTTAGAAAATCAAACATAAAAAAGATTTTAAAATATCAACAGTAAGAGAGAAAAAATGACAGCGAATAGTATTAATTTTTAACATTATATAAGTCTATTGATTAGTATTTTATTAATTTTAAATCAATAATAATTCAATAAATTAAATTTTCATCATCAAAAATTAATAAAATAAAAAATAAAAAATTATAATATTTATGTATATAAAACAAAAATAAAATCTAGAAAATATTGTTTTTTTTAGAAATGAAGAGAGTATATAGTAAGATATCTAATATAATTTAGTATTTTATCACCAAAGGGTCTTATGTTCCTTCTATTCTAATCATCCCCTTGGATTTTTCTCCTTTTTTGTTCTTTCTCTAAATATTTTCCCTAAAAGATCCATTTTTTCTTTGTTTCAGTCGCTCTTCTGCTCAATTGATAAGTTGGGTTTTCTCCACTTATGGAATACCATTGATCGAGTTAAGTCTCAGGTTTCGTATCAATTCATGATCTCTGTTCTCTCTCTCTGGGTTTTTGGTTTTTCATTTCATCTCTTCCCAAATTCTCTTCCAGTTTTCTTTTCTTCTCAATTTGGTTTTGTTTTGATGCAGAAATCGGCGAGTTCGTAACTTTGTTTCTGATCTTTTGGAGATTCACCTCTTTGCTCCGATAATGGCTGTCGCTGAAAATGCTGGTGTGAAAGTGGACTCTTCAGGTCAGAATTTAGACAACAACAACAACACCAACACTGATTCTTCAGCAGCCGAGACGAAGCCGCCATGTCCTGATGATCAGAGCCCTAAATCTGATTCCTCTCTTGACTCATCGAATCCTCCAACCGACGATCGGACCAATGAGACTGCCGAAAAGGGTCAGGCCGCTAATGGGTTTAACGGAAATGGTTTCGGATTGAATTCCGAGGATGGCGAGAGAGGAGAAACCAACGGAGAGAGTCTGAAGAGTGAGATCAAAACCTTGGCTGATGCGTTTTCTAAGCTCAATCCGTTGGCTCAGGAGTTTGTTCCTTCACAGGCTCGAGGTCAATCTGGGGTTTTGGGAAATGGATTAGGGTTTACTAACAATTTCGCAGATGGGAATGATCATTTTGCCAGAAAGGTATATACATCCTCATCCTTAAACATTCTCGCTCAGTTGTGATCTCTGTGTTTTGTTTTCTGAATTGAAAGTATGTGTTTTGATGGGTAAATAAATCATTTTGTTAGTTTTTTTGATTAGTGTGTGAATTGTGTGACCTTTTGTTAGATTATGATGATAGAGTGAGATGTAGAGAGTCGGTAATTACAAAGCTTTGAGCTTTTGTGTGTGTGTTTTGTTTACCATGATCCGGTAGCTTGTTTTTTGATTGAAAAAGATTGTATTTTGATAGATTCAGCAAACAGATAACAGAAAGATTCGAGCTTTACGTGCTCTTTGAGTCTATCTCTTGCTCATTGTTTGAGAAATCAGTCTATCAAGTACAGTTCGAGCTGTGCAAAAGTCCTTTTTTTTTAACAAAATGAGTTTTTGAAGTTCTTAGGTTTTAACTAGAAAGAATACATCATGTCTGTGGATTTACATTCTTCAAATGGCTTGATATTGTCTTGTTATCTGCTAGATACGAGAAAGAGAAGTGTGCAGAGCTGTCCTGTGGATTGGATATCAATTTTGTAATTCTTGTGCTTCTCGTTTTTACTTGTTGGTACAGAGAAGGAGCTTTAGCCAAGGGAGGAGATTGTATTTTGATAGAAAAAGATTGTTTTTTGATAGATTCAGCAAACAGATAACAGAAAGATTCGAGCTTTACGTGCTCTTTGAGTCTATCTCTTGCTCATTGTTTGAGAAATCAGTCTATCAAGTACAGTTCGAGCTGTGCAAAAGTCCTTTTTTTTTAACAAAATGAGTTTTTGAAGTTCTTAGGTTTTAACTAGAAAGAATACATTATGTCTGTGGATTTACATTCTTCAAATGGCTTGATATTGTCTTGTTATCTGCTAGATACGAGAAAGAGAAGTGTGCAGAGCTGTCCTGTGGATTGGATATCAATTTTGTAATTCTTGTGCTTCTCGTTTTTACTTGTTGGTACAGAGAAGGAGCTTTAGCCAAGGGAGGAGAAGAGTGAACAAAAGAACCAGCTTGGCTCAGAAGGAAGATGTAATCAGGAGAACTGTATATGTCTCCGACATCGATCAACAGGTTGAAAAAATTGGAAATTGTTGGCTTCCGTTTACCATTTTTTCTCGTAAAGGAATCTATTTAATAACCACCACCTCTCTTAATTTGTTTCGTTTTCAGGTTACCGAGGAGAACCTTGCAGGTCTCTTTGTTAACTGTGGACATGTAAGGATCTTTACTATGTTAAAAAATACATAGATTTTCTGCAGTAACTCGTTTCCTCATATGAACTTGTTTTTTGTCATTTTGGGATTGAAAAGGTTGTTGATTGTCGTGTATGCGGTGACCCAAAGTCGCTCCTCCGTTTCGCTTTCATTGAGTTCACCAATGAAGGTACTTTTCAAGTCAACCTTTCTTTATTCGTTTGAGTTTTTTTTTTTCCTTCCTCAGTACTGTTTCCTTAACTAATCAAGCAATGTTGCTGCAGAGGGAGCTAGGGCTGCATTGAGAATGTCAGGAACGGTGCTCGGTTTTTACCCTCTTAAGGTGCTTCCTTCCAAAACTGCCATTGCACCTGTTAACCCGACTTTCCTCCCGAGGGTAAGTTCGCATTAACATGCCTAAACTTGGATTCTATTTTCATCAGTTTAATCAAATCTCGAGCATAATGGTGATTTCTTTCTTTCACAGTCTGAGGATGAGCGCGAGATGTGCGTGAGGACTGTTTACTGTACCAACATTGACAAGCGGGTAAGTTTGATTTCCATTTACCATTTTATCTTATGAGATCATATTTGGAGAAAGCAACTTTCATTTACGTCTTTGTTTCATAAATTTGCAGATTACTCAAACTGACTTGAAAGGCTTCTTTGAAATGCTTTGTGGAGAGGTGAGGATTTGGTTTTGGAATAACGCTTTTATATGTGTGTATTTGTGTGTTTCAGCTTTACAACCAATTTTTATCTATTGTAGGTTCATCGTCTGAGGCTTGGAGACTATCACCACCAAACCCGCATTGCTTTTGTTGAGTTTGCAATGGTAATTCTCTCTGCATTGTTTCTCAGTTAACGTGTTCCCATTTTGGACATTAGCTTTGGTGATTAAATAGTTTCAGTTGCTAGTTAAGATTCTACTATTTGCATTGCATTCTCGTTTAGTGCCATTTAAAGAATCAGGGAGTAGAGTTTCTAACTTGATATGTTGCATTTCATAAAGCTTCTTACTTCTTTTAAAGATTGTCTCTTAGCTTCTTTAAATCTCAAGAGTTAAATGCATAAACTCAAAATATGAAGTTTTAAGGTAAAAGGGTCCAAAGATTCATACTTTGCTGCTCTCTTGTCTCAGGCGGAAAGTGCAATTGCTGCTCTTCACTGCAGTGGTGTTGTCTTCGGCGCACTCCCAATAAGGTACGACTTGGCTCACTCGTTACTTTTATGTTTATGGTTCATTTGCATAAAATGTGATATCTGTCTCAATGTCTACGTATGTTAAAAGTATCAGAATCTGGGAATCTTGTATTCATCTTTGTGTTGGTTTTTATGTGTTTTGAAGGGTAAGCCCATCAAAGACACCAGTAAGGCCGCACCCGCAGGTTGCTCGCGCTGAGGGTAACTGAAACTATCGCAAAGCTATTTGCTGGAGATGCCAAAAATTTATATATAGAGAAAGAGAGAGAAAGCAGAAGAAGAAGAAGTCTAAAGAAGAAGGTACTTGAGGCGTTTTGTGTTTATATATCAATCTTTTAGTTTTCTTTTTTAAGTTTGCTTCGCAGTCGCAGAGCCTGCCCGGGTATCTTTGAACAACTTGAGAACTTTGGTCTAAACTTTCTCCTTTCTATAGAGTCGCCAACAACAAAGTTTGGTTCTTTCTCTTTTGTTGTTGTTATTGTTGAAATACCCTTTTGGATATTTTTATTAATTATTTAAGACATTTGGAGCAATTCACTGTTCTTTTTTTGGTTCTTGATTTCAGATATATCTTATCTGATTTCGGGTCTAGTTTGATTTTCTTGTTATTTATACTGTTGTGCTGCTAAGCGTTCGTTGGATCTTTCGCACCATATGTTTTTCAGCTGTTTTTGGTTTTTGATTTCAGATGTCTTCTTTTTCAACTTAAGTACACATCTTTGTGAACCTAAACTAATTTTTTTAAACATAGAATTAGAGATTATAGCTTTTGCTTAATAACCTTCGAAACTTTTGAAAGACCTAACTCCTCTTGTCAATCTTGATTTCTTTGATTTACGTTGTTTTTCTCCAACCACACATTAAATCAAAATTAATGCCCTAGCCTGGTTGCCTAAACCGTATGAAAAGAGATTACAATCTTTGATTCATATTCAAATTGCTTCAGATTGTAGAAAGAAAAAAAATACCACTATATATGTACTTGGCTTTGTAAAGATTTTTGTGCCGCAAAATCTGTTATTTCAAGCATATTTAATAGATATTTTATAATTTATTAAGTTTTGAAAAATATTTGTGTATCTAAAAATGTTCAGTCTGAGATTTTTAAAAAATTTGTTATTTTTTTTTAATTTAAACTTATACAAAGCTAGATTTACATTTATTTTCGTCTGAGGTTTCAAAAAATAATATTTTTTCTGTTTTTATAATATGTGAATCAAAGCTGTTGCAAACAATAAATACTCGTAGATCTAAAACATGAAAATAATTTTTATTTTCATTAATAAAACAGATAACTAATTTAATTTACTAAACCAATGAAATTATCGAATTATTTGTGATTGGTTTGAGTTAAATTCGATTTAATTTAAGTGATTTAAAATAAAGTGTTTGGTAATAAAGATAGCACACAAAAATAAATTAATAAAAAATATTAAAATAAATAAGATAATGACATCTAAGCTAATGTTTCCTGTTTAATATATATTAGATATTTTTTTTTAAAACAAAGATTCACTTAAATTGTTTTTATCATATTTATTTAAATCGAATTGTTTAAATTATATACAAAAAATCTAAATATTAATTGCAGATTTTTAAAACATTAAATGTAATTAAAAAATAAATAATTAGAAATTTTTTTTGTTTGATTGGAAGAAAGATTGTGTTTGGTTGCAAAAATAAATTTTTTAAGTTTTTAACCATTATTAAGATTTAAAAATTTTAAATTCTGAGATAATGATACATAAGCCACTAATGCTTCCTGTTTAATATATGTTAGATTTTCACAATTCTCTTTTTCTTGTCATAGAAGAAATAATTTTAGGATAAAAAAATTAACAAACAAATTATAGATAATTAAGGTAAGCACTTCCCGTTTGTATAGTCTTTGGGTTTGATTGGTATGATTTAATAGCTGAATAATAAACTAGCAGAATTAAAAGGATGGGTAAACTGAAACTGAATAAACTCAAAACGCTAAAAAAATAGAGTTTGACTGGTATGTCAACTTAATAACTGAATAGCAGAATAGCTGAATAAAAAATTAGCGGAATCAATAGGATGGGTAAACCAAAAACTGAATAAACTCAAAACGCTAAAAAGCTAGTATCTATTAGATGAATAGATTTTTATCAAAACTAGTTATAAATTTAAAACATGCGGGATGAATTGAAAAATAGCGTGTTAATTTTCACTTTTTATCATTCAGTGCTTAATATTGTGAATGGTATGCATTTAGTGGAATTACGTTTTCAAAAATTGAAAACGTGAAAAAGCCACATACCATTCAACCCCATAGTATCTATGAGATGAATAATTTTTCTCAAAACTAGTTATAAATTTAAAACGTGCGGGATGAATTGAAAAATAGCTTATTAATTTTTATTTTTTATCATTTAGTGCTTAATATTATGAATGATATGCATTTAGTGAAATCACGTTTTCAAAACGTGAAAATGTGTAAAAACTACCTACCATTCAACCCTTTTATTTGCTGTTGTGTTTATAACTTTTTTTACTAGTTTTGCTAGTAAGAAATTTAAGTAGTTAGCAAACTATGTTTTAAGTATTTTGTTGTGGACCTTATGATTGTAGCAAACGTTTTATTAATCTGGGTTTATACATGGTTTTATGAAATCACACTACTATCGTTAAGGCATTAAGTTTTAAAACTTATGATAGTTTCTATGTTCAAATGCAAATGCTAATACAAAATGAAGAATATGGTTTTTATACACTAAGGATGTGAATCATGCTAGTAATATAGCTAGTGTTATAAGTTCACTTTTCTATTTCTCATAACTATGTAATTTCTTACGACCATTTTTTACGAATCGGCATATAAGTTAACTAAACCGTCATCTTTTACCCTATCGCCATTTCTTAAAACCCTTCTTGTATCACCAACCAAAACCTACATTTACAGTATGGTTGTCATATATGGTTTACATGTACAATTGTGATAATACTAGGAACAGAATATCATATTTCTTCTTTTTATTAGTGGAGCTCAATCACTATCCTAAACAATCGAAGCTTTAGCAGTGAGTACACAAAATCATGATCAGAAGCGAGTAAAATATCGATGTAAATGGCTAAAGAAATGATTATGAAAAATATACGAAAGAAGAGAAGGATACAGCTTTCTGCACTCTCGAGAGACGCATTTCACATTCTTTCATGTTACAAATAATTTTTATTTCTGACACAAAGCTATCTCATTTATAAACACAAAGCATGCCTACCTATTCCACTTTGTTTTCTTTTCTTTAGTATGTTACTTTATTTTCCGCTTTGTTATTGTTCTTATTCCAACATTTTTCCTCTTTCTCGGGTTTTCCGGATACAAAGCACTAGTGGATATCGTTTTGCATTTGACCGTTACTTGTGACTTGTGACTTGTGATGGTTACGAAACATGTACATGACAATACAAATATTTGTTCTTATTGTAGAAATTCTCAAATATATAATGTTTTGGATTGGACACTATATACGGGACACTAAAGCGACCAGATATTAAGTAAAAGTTAATATCATAAACAATCGAACATATAAGATCACAATAGATCCGAGTTTCGAGTTATACTTCTTATTGCATTTTAGATAACCAGATAAATGTACATGTTCCGAACTTTCTAATATAGTATTTGGCAACAAAAAGGTTCTTGTTCTTTATAAAGTAGAGTGTTCCTTCTTGACCAGCCTCTTTATATGTATACTATTAATAATGATATTATCAACGTGTTCCGTATAGATTAAGCAGACGGTTGATCTTGATGGGGAAAACTGGTGGAAGTTCGTGGTTCACGGCGGTTAAGAATGTTTTCCGGTCACCGGAGAAGAAATGCCCCAGAAGAAGAGACCGTCGACAAGGCAACGATCTCGTCGAAGACGATGAAGACGAGCAACAGCAACAAACAGTACTTGCTTTACACTCAGTTATAGTTACCTTTCTTTAATTTTCAATCTTCTTTCATACTATATACACTAAATTACATGTATTTATTCAATATCATCCCAAAAAGTACGTTTTTTTCAAATTTAGACAGGTATAACGTAAAAACGATCATCAGCATCAAATACTGAATTTTCATAGCCGAATTTTTATCAAAATTTTGGAAAATTTGGAGATTTGCATCTTTTTCATGCTAAAAAAAACGTAGAAGTAAACAATAAATATGTTGGTGGTTTGGTGCAGAAGAGAGGTAAAAGAAGATGGCTATTCAAGAAAGCTTCTTCTGATTCTTGTGCAACAGACGTCGCAATAAACATTAAAGATGCTAGCAAGTTTAACTATGCGGCTGTTGACGCGTTTGCGGCGGAGGATACGGAGAAAACTGCATCTCCGGCGGCCAGGGAAGCCGTGTTTTTCGGTCGGACATCTGTTTACCTTAAAAGACACTTGGCTGCTATTCTCATTCAGACAGCTTTCCGAGGATGCCTGGTTGCTAATTCTACCCTCTATACTTTTAGCATCCGCATTTTCTCTGGTAACTTAGTTTTAGGAAATAGCCACCACAAAAACTTAAAAACATTATATTTTTATAATTTCAAACCAAGTTGAGGTATATTTATGGTAATATTGTCGATATATATCAGTTTATAGTCGAACCTGAGTTTAATTTTGTTGACTTGTAACTCAAGGCACGAAAGGCGTTCAAGGCCCTAAAAGGAGTTGTGATACTACAAGCCCTAGTGAGAGGCCACAACGTGCGTAGACGAGCTAGTATTACTTTTCTTCGGGTTCAGGCGTTGGTTCGGATCCAGGCTCGGGTTTTAGGTCACCGGAAAAAACTCACGGCCAGTCCCGGCCACGAAACTACCTTGTCTCGTGCTTTCTCTAAACAGGTTCAGTTTCAATCGAACATATACAGTATTTATTCCAGTTTCCCACATTTGCTTAACAATAGATTAATAGTCTTTTTCTTGGGTTTACAAATTAAAGATGTGGAGAACCACAGCGAGAGAAGCACATAGTGAAAACGAATTAGAGGACAAAAGACCCAGTAGGTTAAACCGGTTTGGTTATCTAGAAACCAGAAGGAGAATGTCAACCGATCAGGCTATCGTTGAACCGGTCAAGATAGTTGAGATTGATACCTATAATACGTACTCACACCACCAACAACTCAACGACCGAACGCCACGCGGTAATTCGTGCGTCACAGGGCAAGTCCATTCAGTACCTAACTACATGTCTGCCACTGCCTCAGCCGTGGCTAGGTTTCGACCCCAAAGCGTACCGAGGCAGAGATCCAACCCGGCCGATTTAGATGGCAACGAACCAAGATTAAAATTGGTTAAAAAGCGGTTATCGTTTCACAATGATAATAATCCACAATCGCATGATTTTCACTTTCCAGTACTAAATTAACCGGATCGGTTATGGGGAGCCAATCGAACCGATTGACGCTTAAAGATATTATATAATGTATTGACCCATGATTATATTAGTGTTTTTGTTTTTCTTATCTGCACCAAATTTATCAATTTAGACTTCTTCCATGCTACAACAGCGTGACTATTTCTATGTCAAACATATTCTAACGTCCGCAATTATGTACTAAACAATTTGAACCTGTTTATTAGACGGTGGATTAATTAGTAGGTGTCCAATTTTAAAATAAAATATACGTTACAAATCCCTACATTTCTTATTAGATCTTAAGGGTAAGCCATTTCGATTTCTTTTCTTGAGTTTTCCTTGCAAAGGTTAATTATGATGTAGATTTCATTTAATTTGTAATTTTATGATTTGTCTAGATGTTTATGGAATTTCTAAGAGAGACTGTAAGGATTATGGAACTATAATTAATTAATGCTGATGATACGATACTCCCGTGTGTTGATGTTGTATACAAAAGCTTCAGAAAGCGAGTGTAAATCTCTTCATATTAATTTGTGTTGTATTTTTTCTAAATACATATGGTTATAAGATTGGATTTTATAGTGATCCTGATGTTTTAAACTTGTTGATTTAATGGTCGATCTTCACATTCAAGAGTGGTGGTAAACACTGATTGCCTATCGCACATCACATTACTAAAGATACACAAAAAAATCTGTCATAGCATATATGTATATACTCTATAGATGATTGTCAAAAACATTAATATGATTTTGAATTTAAACCTTTATTACATACAAGGGTTGTTGTTTACTTTCAGTTTCGATGATATCAAGATTTATTACATTATAATGATTTTTGAATTGTCCGTTTAGTTACTTTTGTAAGTTTGTAACTAAAAAGTTAATAATCAGCCAAAAATGCCCGTGTAAAAAAACAGAAATGAAACTCATTAATGCTCACAACGTCACAGTGCTCACGTGGCTGTCGTAGGAGTCACGTTTCCACCGCTGTCGTTTTAGCAAACCACCGGCATTTTTCAACGCCTCCTATTCGTTTTTATTTAAACGAACTCCGCTTTTATTTTTCCTTTAATTAATTAATTTTTAATCATCCCCTTATTTTTTTTCCTCTATGGTCTTTCAGACATTTTTTTTTTTTGGTTTCGGTTGATCTCTGAAGCTTAACTATTCTCAACTTGGTCTCCTCGCCGTCCGATGCTTTGACTTTCTTTACCGATCAAATTTTTAGTTTGACCTTAACGTTCCGGCAACGATGGGCCATTGTTACAGCCGGAACATTTCCACCGTCGAAGATGAGGACGGCGAGATCCCCGCCGGAGCCGCCCAGCTTCCGAATTCGTCTCATAACAACCACCAGAATTCAATTCCCAATTCTCCGGCTGCCTCTGGTGCTTCCGAAGTCAACCCTTACACCATTAGTCCCTTCCAGAGCCCGTTGCCGGCGGGAGTAGCTCCTTCTCCGGCGAGAACTCCGGGGAGAAAGTTTAAATGGCCGTTCCCGCCTCCTTCACCTGCGAAGCCGATTATGGCGGCTCTGAGAAGGCGACGAGGTACAGCACCGCAGCCTCGAGACGGCCCGATCCCTGAGGAGAGTGAGGAAGTCGATCACGGAAGAGCCGGCGGAAGCGGAGGTGGAATCGGGGAGAGGTTAGATAAGAATTTCGGATTCGCCAAGAACTTCGAAGCGAAGTACGAGCTCGGGAAGGAGGTGGGTCGAGGGCATTTTGGTCATACTTGTTGGGCGAAATCGAAGAAAGGGAAGATCAAAGGTCAAACGGTAGCAGTCAAAATCATCGCTAAAGCCAAGGTCTTTCTCTTGACAATGTGATCCCAAAAATCACTTTGAACATAGAATTCAAAATGGTTACTGAGAAATCGTTCTCATTTTTAAGTGCAAGATGGATGGTGAATTGTTATTTATTTGGGAACATCTAAAGATGAGATCTTTGTGGGTTTTGTGGCATTTCAGATGACATCAGCTTTATCCATAGAAGATGTTCGTCGAGAGGTGAAGCTGCTGAAAGCTTTGTCTGGGCATAGGCATATGGTTAAGTTCTACGATGTATTCGAGGACGCAGATAATGTCTTTGTTGTTATGGAGTAAGTATGTCCCTTTCATGCTTCTTCTAATCTCATTGTTGTTCAGATTTAGAGAAAATCAACATTAAAGAGTTGTAATTGTACCACTGGTATGAGTAAATTTGAGACATTAGGTAGACTTGAGATATTGATATCCTCCATTTTGGTTCTAGGTTATGTGAAGGTGGAGAGCTATTGGACAGAATTTTAGCGAGGTAAATAAAAATTGTTCCTTTTTTTCTCTGTTTTTCCTTTTATATCTTGGCCTTTACACACATAGGTTTAAACTTGTACTCTCTATGTCTTAATGCAGAGGTGGTCGATACCCGGAAGCAGATGCTAAGCGTATACTTGTGCAGGTCTTATCTGCAACTGCTTTTTTCCATCTTCAAGGTGTTGTGCACCGTGATCTGAAGCCAGAGGTACTGTACACAAATCTGCTTCCACCACTGTGAATAGTATCATAAGTAGCTCTTGCTTGCTTCTTAAACATAATTCTATACTCTTTGTGTGTATCCAGAATTTTCTCTTTACCAGCAAAAACGAGGATGCAATACTCAAGGTCATAGATTTTGGTTTGTCTGATTACTCCAGATTCGGTAAATGATCTACTTCTCTTTACATGACGCAGCTTCTAGAAGTTTTACTTAGAGAATGACGAAGAGCGGGATGGTTTTTTGTGTGTGTGTTTGATCTTTAATCAGATCAGCGTCTCAACGATGTGGTAGGAAGTGCATACTACGTTGCACCTGAAGTACTACACAGATCTTACAGCACTGAAGCAGATATATGGAGCATTGGTGTCATATCTTACATATTACTCTGTGGAAGCAGACCTTTCTACGGACGAACCGAGTCTGCCATTTTCCGCTGTGTGCTTAGAGCGAACCCTAACTTCGAAGACTTGCCTTGGCCTTCCATATCTCCTATTGCCAAAGACTTCGTGAAAAGGCTTTTGAATAAAGACCATAGGAAAAGAATGACAGCTGCTCAAGCTTTAGGTAAGTTCTTGATGAAAAACCCTGGTTTGCTTCTGATAGGTGAAATGAAAACATGGGTTTGATCAAAATTCTGCAGCTCATCCATGGCTTCGAGATGAAAACCCTGGTTTGCTTCTGGATTTCTCCATCTACAAATTGGTCAAGTCTTATATCCGTGCATCGCCTTTCAGACGAGCAGCACTTAAGGTAATTTGTCTGATAATATCTTTGTTTATTAATTGTTGGAGATGTCATAAGAGATGTGTCAAAACCTAAACAGATCCATTCGTTGCTCAAATCTCTTAAGATCTTGTCAAGAGAAACAATATATCTATGTCTTTAATTTTCTGTCATTTGTACCACAGTCTCTGTCCAAAGCTATACCCGAAGAGGAACTTGTGTTCCTTAAAGCACAGTTCATGCTTCTGGAACCAGAAGATGGAGGCCTGTATCTTCACAATTTCACTACGGTCAGTGTGTGATTTCCACATGCGCTCTATCTTTCTTGGTTTAGCCATAGCTTGTTCTTGAATGTGATTAGTCAATCAAACTCTTGTGGTAATATGCATGCAGGCTTTGACAAGATTTGCTACGGATGCTATGATCGAATCTAGGCTTCCTGACATTTTAAACTTGGTACGCACAAACACATCGATCTCTTGTGTCCAAAGAGTGTTCTAGTCTCTGCATAATTACATTACATCTGTAATATTCTTTCTTTTTTTGTTTTTCCTTTTTGTTGATTGAAGATGCAACCCTTAGCACATAGGAAACTCGATTTCGAAGAGTTCTGTGCGGCTGCGGTTAGCGTTTATCAACTAGAGGCTCTTGAAGAATGGGAACAGATCGCAACAATAGCGTTTGACGACTTTGAACGTGAAGGAAGCCGAGCCATTTCCGTCCAAGAACTCGCAGAGGTATGTAGAGACTTAAATAAATCTCTGAGATCTGTTAAAACCCCTATCTTTTGAATGAATCTTGGGTCAATATGCAGGAGATGAGTTTGGGACAAAATGCGTATCCTCTGCTCAAGGATTGGATCCGGAGTTTGGATGGGAAGCTGAATTTCTTGGGCTATGCCAAGTTCTTGCATGGTGTGACTGTTCGAAGCTCGAGCTCGAGACCTATTAGGTGACTTCTAACTTTGCAAAAACAACCTAATCATACTGTCGATTCAAGACAAAAAACATGAACTGGAGAAAAGGGGAACCTCTTTTGTATTAAGCATTTTGTTTTCAGAGGAAACCAATTCCAAACCAAACAAACAAGAAAAGGAAAATATATTATGTATTTTCTTCTATTTAATTCCTGGTTTGTATAGAAAGAAATGGATGGGTTGTTGTTGTGGTTCGGTTCTGGTTTTGTTTCCTCTAAGCAGTGGTATATATATTGAAGGTGTAATAAATTAACGGTTTAGATACAACAAAACTTTTGTGCTAAGACCAACTTCCAAAAGTCTTAAACGGTTTTTAAGCCCATAAAAAATATTTCACTTATTGTATTTATTCTATAAAGAAAAAAAAAATAATACTTCAAAAATGTTAAGGAATGAATGAAATTCCATTAATTTTTATTCCATTAATTTTTTATATTTCAATTTGTTATTACCAGATAAGTGTTGCAAGGAATCATCTATCTTTTGTAAGTAATATTCTATTGGAGCCTCGAGAATGGAGAGGCTTTGTCTCAGTCCACGGACCACGTTGATCCCATCGACGTATCGTTTCATGGTTGGTCGATTTCTGAAAATGGAAAATTCATCCCAACAGATACGGTACAAGAAGATTATACCTAATTGTGTTGTTGATATAGTTAAAGAAACATATTAATACACCAACCTCCAATATCGTTTCTCTCACATGTATAATGAGTTTAACTACTACTACAACAAGAACATCAAAATATAAAAGAATTCAGATCCATATGCATTGAACGTTGTCATTTATCTCACATACAGCCACATGAATCACATGAATTCAACTAACCCTAAAAAACAATATGAAAAGTAAGACGCAAGAAAAACGAAGACCAACAACACCCGAGAAAAAGACAATGTGAGATGGGAAACCAATAATTGTCTTAACAAATACAGCAGTATCTTGTTATTATTATATATATAAAATTTGATGTATCAAAATTTATAATTAACACCATCCCTTGAACTGTATACGTCAAACATGTTATTGATGGTTCGCATTCTATTTCATACAGATTTTCTAGTTAAACTCTTGCCATAATAAAAATTTGAACTAAGAAATTCAACCAAACAAAAAACTTGAAGTCACTAAGAAAATTAATTTGAATAGTTAGAATAAATTAATCAGGAGGAAATGAACAATATAATAACTTTTAAATGCATAACAAAGAAAGTAAAATTTGTAAACAAAGATTATTCTTGTTAAAAATAACATAAATTTGTTTATCCACGATTTATTTTTTTATAGAAAAGCATTTTGAGGGGATATTTGTCTCATTCATTTCTTAGGAATCTTCACTCACTTTCCCTATATATAATAAGCAAGACTCCTTCACTTGTATAATGCCATCATCATCACAGTCATCATCATCGTAATCATCAGCTAGTTAGATGGCGCCGGTGAAGAGGAGGGTGTTTAAGACAAAGAAAGAAATGTCGGGGGAGCTGGCCAAATACACGGCGGATCTCTCCTCCAAATTCTGCAAAGAGAGAGGAATTTTCACCGTTGTTCTCTCCGGCGGCGACCTCATCTCTTGGCTCTGGTCTACTTCCAGATTTATATCAAAACTCTCTTTTTCTTTTTGGTAAACAAAACAAAACTCTCAGTATCACTCTTTTGATACAAATTTCAATTTATCTGATTCTTCAACAGGAAATTGTTGGAACCTCCATATATCGATTCAATTGAATGGTCTAAGTGGCATATCTTTTGGGTCGACGAGAGAGTTTGTGGTTGGGATGATGCTGATAGCAACTATAAATTAGCCTACGATGGTTTTCTCTCCAAGGTACATATATATAAATTATACGCAAACAAACCCCATCTATTTAACGAAGGATATTTGATATATCTCATTACACAAACATAGATAGTTGATATTTTTTTATATAACAAACTGTATAATATCAAAGTCGCATCCATGACGACATATAGTCTTGCTAGGTTCCGATTCCGGAAAAACACATCTACGCCATTGACAACGGTCTTGGGGCCGAAGGCAACGCTGAGCTCGCAGCCGAACGGTACGAGGAGTGCCTCAAACAAAAGGTGAACCAAAACATTATCCGAACATACAAATCCTCCGGTTTCCCACAATTCGATCTCCAGCTTCTAGGAATGGGACCGGACGGTCACATGGCGTCTTTATTCCCGGGACATGATCAAATCAATGAGAAAGTGAAATGGGTTACGTTTATAACCGACTCACCTAAACCACCACCAAAACGGATCACTTTCACTTTACCGGTTATCAATTGTGCTTCATACAATGTTATGGCCGTATGTGATAAAGAGCAATCTGATTCGGTTGCGGCTGCTCTTGATCATACCAAAGACGTACCAGCCAGTAGACTAACCGCGGATGTTGAAGTGGTCTGGTTCCTTGACCAAGCTGCTGCGTCTAAACTCTCTCATGGCTGTTGCTCCATCCTTTAAATTACACGTGTTTGGTTTTGTCTCGCTGAATCGGTTTGGTTTGGTTCGTGTGTAAACCGCGTATTTGTTAGTGTCGTTATGATTGAATGAGTCTTAGTAGTGGGTCAGTTATGTCCGAGTTTGTAGCAGTAGTTGAGTAGAAGTCGAGGTCAAGTGGTTTCCTAATTTGTAGCTTGTTTCAGTGTCTTGTAAGGCTATATAGCCGTCACTTTCTTTATCAATGAAGTATTCAGTTCAGCATATCGAGACTCTGTAATTCACATTTGGTATCAGAGCAAAATCAAAGTGTTGAGTGAATCAAAGAGAGTGAAAGCAAGATGTCGATCTCAGACAAATTTGTTCAACCTGCTATTCCCAGATTTGATGGCCATTACGATTATTGGTCAATGACGATGGAGAACTTTCTGAGAAGCAAAGAGATGTGGAGTCTGGTGGAGGATGAGATCCCTGCTGCGGCAATTGGGATAACACCAGCAAGTGAGGCTCAAAGGAAATTGGTGGAAGACGCCAAGCTGAAGGATTTGAAGGTCAAGAATTACCTGTTCCAAGTGATTGATAGAGAGATCTTGGAGACAATTCTGGACAAGGGAACTTCAAAAGCCATTTGGAACTCCATGAAACAGAAGTATCAAGGGTCCACTAAGGTGAGAAGGGCTCAGCTTCAGGCGTTGCGAAGAGAGTTCGAGCTTCTTGCCATGAAGGATGGAGAAAAGGTAGACAATTTTCTCGGAAGAACGTTGGGTGTTGTAAACAAGATGAAGACGAATGGTGAGATAATGGAGCAGAGCACGGTGGTCAGTAAAATACTCAGATCTTTACTACCAAAGTTCAACTACGTTGTGTGTTCGATAGAAGAGTCAAACGATCTGAGTAAGCTGAGCATCGATGAGCTACATGGAAGCCTGCTTGTTCATGAACAACGAATGTCTGGGAGTCAAGAGGAAGAACATGTTCTCAAAGTTGTTCATGATGAGAGAGTCGGAAGAGGAAGAGGTTGAGGCACATTTAAAGGAGGTCGTGGTCGAGGCAGAGGAAGACAGCCTTTCAACCGAGAGGTCATTGAGTGTTTCAGATGCCACAAACTGGATCATTTCCAGTATGAATGCCCTGGCGGAGACAAAAAGGCCTATTATGCGGAGATAGAAGAAGACGTGTTGCTGATGGCTCATATGGAGATGAATAGTACGAAGGAGGAGGTGTGGTACCTTGATTCAGGCTGCAGCAACCACATGACAGGAAACAAAGAATGGTTTGTGAAGCTGGAGGATGATTTCAATCGAACGGTGAAGCTTGGTAATGATATAAGAATGGACGTGGTTGCAAAAGGGAACATACAGGTTCAAATCAACGGCATAAATCCGTTGATCTCTGATGTTTATTACATCCCGGAGCTCAAGAACAATCTTCTGAGTATCGGACAACTCCAAGAGAAGGGGTTAGATATTCTGTTTCAAACTGGCGTTTGCAAAGTTTTCCATCCTGAGAGAGGATTGATTATGCTAACTAAGATGAGCGGAAACAGAATGTTCTACCTACTAGCATCAAAACTACAGAAGGCTCCAATGTGCTTTTAGATGGAGGAAGACGAGAAGGAGGTTCACATGTGGCATTGTCGATTTGGCCATTTGAATCATCATGGTTTGAAGCTGCTCTCCCACAAACAAATGGTCGTTGGCCTGCCTGCTCTGAAATCAACTAAGGAGATCTGCACCACCTGTCTTGTCGGGAAGCAACACAGGGAGTTCATGACAAAAAGGAGCATGTGGAGAGCCTCAAAGCACCTTCAGTTGGTTCATTCAGATATATGCGGACCCATTAAACCAGCTTCACACAATGGCAAAAGGTACTTTCTCAGCTTTATCAATGACTTCACCAGAAAAACTTGGGTCTACTTCTTGCATAAAAAATCAGAAGCCTTCGCCTCATTCAAGACATTCAAAGCGAGTGTAGAAAAGGAAATTGGGGAGAATATCATCTGTTTGAGAACAGACAGGGGTGGTGAATTTAACTCAAAGGAGTTTTATGACTTCTGCAAATCTCAAGGCATTAGCAGACAACTAACAGCGGCGTACACACCACAACAGAACAGAGTCTCGGAGAGGAAAAATAAGACCATCATGAATGCAGACCGATCCATGCTGAATGAGAGAAAAGTTCCCAAAGTGTTCTGGTCTGAGGCTGTTAGATGGTGTGTGCACACTCAAAATCGAAGTCCAACAGTGGTGCTTGAGGACAAGACCCCAGAAAAAGCTTGGAGTGGAATGAAACCGATAGTGGAATACTTTCGGATCTTTGGATGTGTGGCACATGTTCACATACCAGATCAAAAGAGGAGCAAGTTAGATGATAAAAGCAGAAGATGTGTTCTTCTTGGCGTGAGTGACGAATCCAAAGCATGGCGGTTATACGATCCTATATCTAAAAAGGTGGTTGTCAGCAAGGATGTCATTTTCGAAGAAGAAAAGGGGTGGTCTTGGGAGAGATCTGAGGAGGAAATGAATCAAGACGTGCTGAAATGGGATGATGTTGACAACGCTAGTGTTCAGAATGAAGAAGAAGAGATTGCTGATGAAAACTCAGATGGAGGAAGTCTGGTAGAGTCAACCAACACAACCATCAGCCCTAGAAACTCACCTGGTCCGTTAGGCTCCCCTCCTGCATCTTTAAACCGTGGAGAAATCAACAGAACCAACAGCCCCAGAAACTCACCTGGTCCGTTAGGCTCTCCTCCTGCACCTTTATATCATGGAGAAAGTTCAAATGCTGGAGCTGGTGGTCTGATTGACGGGAGGTAGAATGTGAATGTTCGAGACAGAAAAACACCAGCATATTTGGCAGATTATGAGAGAGGGGATTTGGAGGAAGAAGAAGAAAGCTTGAATGCAATGATGATGGTGATGATGGTAGCAGAAAATGATCCAGTTTCATTCAATGAAGCCATCAAACATTTAAAATGGAAACAAGCGATGCTGCGTGAGATTGAGGCCATTGAGAAAAATCACACATGGGAGCTTACAGTGCTTCCAAAAGGACAAACACCCATTGGAGTCAAGTGGGTGTACAAAACAAAATTGAATGAAAACAGAAAAGTGGAGAAGTATAAAGCCAGGCTTGTAGCGAAGGGGTACGCACAATGCTACGGCGTAGACTACACTGAAGTGTTTGCTCCAGTGGCTAGACTCGATACAATTCGTGCAATCCTCGCAGCAGCAGCTCAATCTAACTGGGATGTGTTTCAACTAGATGTGAAAAGTGCCTTTCTGTATGGTGAGCTCAAAGAAGAAGTATTCGTTCAACAGCCTGAAGGGTTTGAAAAGAAAGGAGAGGAAGACAAGGTCTACAGATTGAAAAAGGCTTTGTACGGTCTTAAACAGGCCCCAAGGACATGGTACAGTAGAATTGAAGCCTACTTTATGCGTGAAGGGTTTGAAAGGTGTCCCAGCGAGCACACATTGTTCACAAAGGCAAACGGAGGTAAATTCATCATCGTTAGTCTTTACATTGATGACTTGATATTTACTGGGAATGACAGAGACATGTGTGAGGAATTCAAGAAGTCAATGATGCTGGAGTTCGAAATGTCTGATTTGGGAAAGATGAAGCACTTCCTTGGAGTCGAAGTAAAACAGTGCGATAAGGGGATCTTCATCTGTCAAAGACGGTATGCAAAGGAAGTGTTAGCAAGATTCGGTATGGAAGAGAGCAATTCTGTTAAAAATCCGATGGTGCCAGGAACGAAGCTGCACAAAGATGAAGATGGAGTTAGAGTTGATGAGACCTTGTTCAAGCAATTGGTCGGGAGTCTTATGTACTTGACGGTGACCAGGCCAGACTTAATGTTCAGTGTTTGCTTGATTAGCAGGTTCATGGCAAGCCCTAGAATGTCATACTGGCTCGCGGCAAAGAGGATCCTAAGATATTTGAAAGGTACAATAAGTCTCGGTGTGCTTTACAGAAGAGGAGAACGTTGCTTGAAACTTGTAGGATTCACGGATAGTGATTATGCTAGAGACTTAGATGATCGGAAGAGTACATCTGGGTTCGTTTTCATGATGGCTTCAGGAGCAATCTCATGGACATCGAAGAAACAACCAGTTGTTGCTTTTTCCACTACTGAAGCAGAGTATATAGCAGCGGCTTCATGTGCTTGTCAGGTTGTCTGGCTCAGGAGGATCTTGGCAAAAATCGGGTTTGAAGAGGAGGCAGAAACAGTGATAATGTGTGACAACAACTCCACCATTCAGCTATCCAAGAATCCAGTTCTCCATGGCAAAAGTAAGCATATTGAAGTAAGGTTTCATTATCTTAGGGAGTTGGTGAATAATGGAGTTATTCAGCTGAATCATTGCCCTACAAAGGATCAGATTGCAGATGTGTTTACAAAGCCATTGAAGCTGGATCAGTTTGAGAAACTTCGTGGAATGCTTGGAGTAATTGATGCTGATGAAGTAAACTAAATGCAGAGCCAAATTTAGTTTAAGAAAGGGTTTGTTAGTGTCGTTATGATTGAATGAGTCTTAGTAGTGGGTCAGTTATGTCCGAGTTTGTAGCAGTAGTTGAGTAGAAGTCGAGGTCAAGTGGTTTCCTAATTTGTAGTTTGTTTCAGTGTCTTGTAAGGCTATATAGCCGTCACTTTCTTTATCAATGAAGTATTCAGTTTAGCATATCGAGACTCTGTAATTCACAGTATTGCTATTACTTGTTGTATGTTGTTTACCATACTAATTGTTATTTTGGTTTTACGAGTTTTCTCTATTAATTGGTTTCATCAATTCATTTTATAGAGGATGTTAAATCAACATGATCAACACTTGAAGTCGGAAAAAAATAACTAAATCAAACTTTAGAACCCCAAATTGATTACTAACCCAATAATTAATTTTAGGGGATGGAAGAAAAATATTTGGAAACCCCAAAATCAAATCAAAGTAAACATTAATCTAGGAGTCTACCAAAATTCAAACTCGATTCCAATTAGTCGTTGTATCCTATGAGGCAGGTTTGGCTTGAGATTGTTTCGTTTGTGAACCCGTTAATACTTTTTACTTATTATGTTGAGGGGTTTTACAAATTCTTACTTTCTATGTATAAGTGTTGTAAAATAAAATGAAATAATAGTTGAAATTTCATGTTTGAATAACCAAACCAATCAAACAAACAAGAAAGGGAAAATATATTTTGTATTTATTTCTTTTTAATTTCTGGTTTGTATGGAAAGAATTGAATGGTTTGTTGCGGTTAGGTTCTGGTTTTGTCTTCTCTAATAAAGTAACCGTTTGGATACCATAAAACTTTTATGCTAACACAAACTTCCAAAAGTATTAAACGTTTTTTAGCCCATCCATAAATTAACTCAGTAATTAAGTGTTCGACCACGGCTGGAGCTTTTGTAAGTGATATCCCATTGGAGCCTTCGAGAATAGAGGGGCTTTGTCTCAGACTCTCAGTCCACGTATCGTTTCAAAGCTGGTCGACTTCTAAAAAGAGAAAATTCATCCCAAAGAGATACTACTTACATGAATATTCTACCTAAATTTGTTGTTGAGTTATGTAGTTATGTTACAATAGCGTTTCTCTCACATGTGGTATAATGAGTTTAGGTAATACTCCAAGAACATGAAAATGTAGAAAACTTCAGATTCAAACATTGAACCTTATCATTGATCTCACATAGTCACATGACTCACATTTGTAATGAGTTCAACAACTAACACCTAAAAACAAAATATAACTGACACATAAAGTCAAAAAAACGAAAGCCAACACCAGAGAAAAAGACAATGAGAGATAGGAAACCGATAATTATCCTGAAATATATATATATGTATCTTGTGCGGGGTTTGATTAATTTTTTATTAAAGTATAATATTAGTTTATTTATAGATTAAAAAATTAGATTTTATAATGATTTGAAATCAAACTTCATATATTTTTAAAAAATTAATTTTTATGAATATATTATTTTTTGTGACAAAGCAAAATATATTTTTTATATTTTATTTTCTAATATCTTTAATATTATCTAATAAAAACTTATATTTATGCTTTGTTGTTTTGTTGCATTTATCAAACATGATAAATAATTCTTTTCTTTTGATGTAAATTGGTAGATTAAAATTAATAAAATTTAAAGTTTGCTTAAAAAAAAAAATCATAGCAATCCAAAATGACGAAAACCAAATGATCCTTTTTTCATATCAACTTAACATTAATTAATATATATAGAGTTTTAAAAGGGTTTAAATAATTTAAGGTTTTACTTGTGGTCGCATAAATCAATTAGATTAGTCAAAAATATTAGTAGGTTAAACAATCAAATTAAAATTAGTTTAATGAAATAATTAAGATTTTATTTTATTTTATTTATGTTAGTTACTTTTTTAGTAAACTGAATATTTTTATGATATAAAATCAAATTTGGAAATCTAAACTTAAAAAAAAAAAATCAATTTAAAATTAAATTATATTAATTTATTAGTTTTATTAAAGGTAATTAAAGTAAATTCATATAAAGGGCAAAAGTAATCAACCATCATAACTCTCAACCACATTCAAACTTGCTTCTCAATTAATATTATATATATATATACGACTAATATGGAATAGTTTTGTAAAGCACCAAATTTATCATGTCTACAACATGGAGAGATTAGAATTAGTGGAGATTCTGACTAAGAAGACACGTACGTACTGTATACCAGCTACTAATCGTTCACATTCTATTTCATCTTTTTCAGTTAAATTTTTACCATAATAAAATTTTGAATAAAGGATTTTAGCAGAACAAAAAACTTGAAGCCACTAAACAATTATATCTGATAGAAAATATATGAATACAGTAAAACCTCTATAAATTAATAATGTTGGAACTTCAAAAAATTATTAATTTATAGAGTTATTAATTAATCGATAAATTAATAGTTATTAATTTATCAGAAATTAATATTATATTAATTTATAGAAAGACATTTCAGTTCAAATTCAAAATATTTGTCAAAAAACAAAAAAAAAATGTTTCCAACAATATAAAATTTATTCAGAAAATATCATATCAATGAATTTGAAAAACAAGTCAAACTATTTTTATAAATTTGAGACAATAATATAATTATATTTTACTATATTATATTATTTATATATATTTAAATGTATAATTATTAATTTATCTAATTATTGAGACTATATTTTTATTTAGAAGTTTCAAAAAAATTATTATTTTATTATCTTATCGAAATTTGCTAATTTTTATATTGGCCCGATTTAGGACTGACAAAAATTATTAATTTATAGTGATTATTAATTTATCGAGTATTAATTTATAAAGGTTATACTGTATATAATTACGTAGAATAAATTAATCTGAAAGAAAAGAATAATAATAAGTTTTAAATGTATGAACTACAAACAAAGTAAGACATAAAAAGATTATTTTTGTTTGGTAATAACTTAAATTATCCACGGTTTTTAAGAAAAGATAATTTGTCTTTTTGAAAAGGAAAAAAAAAAAGAGAAGATAATTGTCTTATTATTGGTTAGGAATCTTTACTCGCTTTCCCTATAAGAAGCAAGACTCCTTCACTTGTATAATGCCATCTCATCAGTCATCACAATCATCATTATCTAACTATCTAGTTAGATGGCGCCGGTGAAGAGCAGGTTGTGTAAGACAAAGAAGGAAATGGCGGTGGAGCTGGCTGAATACACGGCGGATCTCTCCTCCAAATTCTGCAAAGAAAGAGATAAATTCACCGTTGTTCTCTCCGGCGGCGACCTCATCTCCTGGCTCTGGTTTGCTTCCATATTCATTATATACAAAACAAAACTCTCTTTATCACTCTTTTACTTCAAATCTCAACTTGTTTGATTCGTTCAACAGGAAATTGTTGGAACCTCCTTATATTGATTCAATTGAATGGTCTAAGTGGCACATCTTTTGGGTCGACGAGAGGGTTTGTGGTTGGGATGATGCTGATAGCAACTATAAACTCGCCCACGATGGTTTTCTCTCCAAGGTACACATATAGTATAAATTATACGCAACAAGAAAACACATCTATTTTGCTAAGGAATTTTCCGCTTTTAAAATTCTAAAATCTATGTTTTAAAAAGATAAATGATGCTAAAAGAGTGTCGTTAAGTACGAATATCTGCGATACCACTGTTAAATAATGAGCTGAGGATTATTTTATCATTACAAGTATTGATATTTCATGAAGTTATCAACGTTGAGATTTGTATTAAAAGAGTGATATATAAACACAAAATTTTGCATTTAGATGTAAAAAAACTTATTTTATTTGTAATATAGAGCATATTTGTATTTCTTTCCCATCAAAATATATTGCAAATTGTAATTACAAACGGAATTTTTCCTTTTGTTCTTGTTCACACCAGAAATAACGAGTTTATATAATATAAAACATACCACACGTAATAAGAATCGAAATCCACACAACAAAGATATTTGATATCTTATGACAAATGATATAATATCAAAGTAGCATTCGTTATAGGTTCCGATTCCTGCGGAAAACATCAACGCCATTGACAAAGGTCTTGGGGCCGAAGGCAACGCTGAGCTCGCAGCCGAACGGTACGAGGAGTGCCTCAAAGATAAGGTGAACCAAAACATAATCCGAACACACAAATCCTCCGGTTTCCCACAATTCGATCTCCAGCTTCTAGGAATGGGACCGGACGGTCACATGGCGTCTTTATTCCCGGGACATGATCAGATCAATGAGAAAAAGAAATGGGTTACATCCATAACCGACTCACCTAAACCGCCACCAAAAAGGATCACTTTTACTTTACCGGTTATCAATTATGCTTCATACAATGTTATGGCCGTATGTGATATAGAACAAGCTGATTCGGTTGCGGCTGCTCTTAATCATACCAAAGACGTACCGGCCGGTAGACTAATCGCGGATGTTGAAGTGGTTTGGTTCCTTGACCAAGCAGCTGCGTCTAAACTCCATCATGGCTGGTGGTGCTCCATCCTTTAGTTTACACGTTTTTTGGTTTTATCTCGCTGAATCTGTTTGGTTTGGTTCGTTTGTAACCGTGTATTGCTATTACTTGTTATGTCGTGTACTATACCAATTGTTATTTTTGGTTTACAAGTTTTCTCTAATAATTGGTTTCATAATTTGGTAGAGGATGTTAAACCCACATGATCAACATTTGAATGAGGAAAAGAATATCCCTAAATTGATTACTAAGTAGAGGATGTTAAACCCACATGATCAACATTTCAATGAGGAAAAAAAAATCCCCAAATTAATAAGTAAATTTCGGGGGATGAAAGAGAAAGATTTCGAATCCATAGTAGAGAAGAGAAGGACACGAGAATAGAAAAAAAACATATTGATCTCGATTTCTACCAAAATTCAAACTCGGTTCCGATTTGGTGGTTGTATTTCATGAAGCACCTAAGCTTAATGTAATATGTTCTAGTGTTATGACCCATATATCCATGTGGCTGTGATGCCATATCAAGCAAGAAGAAGCATTTACACTCTTACAGTTGAAGGATAGTGAAGCGTAGAACACGGATGAGAATGTATATCGAACACATCGAACATAAAGAAAGATCATACTAGAGAAGAAATTCACAAATTTCTGAAAATTAACATTCATATGCTGTGTATATATGGTTCATAACTTCCGTGAAGACCTCGTTCATTTGTTAAATAATATACTAAAAATAACTTATGCTGTATTTCTTAGTCAATCAAATAATTTATTGACCTCGATCATTTGAAAAATTTACTTTCGCAACGGTACTTTATAAAGTAACTTTCATTATAGAGGAATTATCAAATGATTATGTAACTGTATAAATTGATGTTTATTTATAAATAAATTCATTAAATTAGTATAAGATTTTAAACCTAAGCATTTCATATATTTGGAAGGTTTGTTTTCTCGGATTTCTCAGTTTTTAGGGTGAATTCCATATTTTCTTAATTGTAATTTCCAAGACACAAATTTGGGATAATTAAACATGAGACGTTTAATTGTTTTGCATCTAGTTTTACCTGCGAGCTCAGTTTAAAATCTAACTAGACGAAATGTAACTACATGTTTCATGAGTTTCAAAATCTAAATACTTACAGTCACAATTGTTTTCATATAGTTTTATCTGTTTATTATACACAAATTCTAATATAGTTTAAAATAGTTAATTTAGCAAATAATAAAAGTATTCATCTCATATGTTTTCTAATAATATATTTCAAAAATCAAGCCAGGGAAAAATTAAGAAGAATCCAACATTTTTCTATATGGAATAATTGAGTGCATTTCTGTAGATTCATGACTCCCTTACAAGATAATGATAATTAATAAACGCTTATTATAATTCTAAGGTTATAATTTACGAACATATCAACATCCATTTGCCGGTTGGATGACGAAACGAGATGTAAAATAAAGACTTATACAAATAATAAAGATATTCGAAGAGGTCAGACAGACGAACTAAATCAAATTGAATTTTATTAGTTCCCCTAATTTTGTTTTAGTTAGTTCAGTTTGATTTAACCAGAATGTCTTATCACAATAAAATTCTAAAATATAAGTTTATGTTATGTACGTCTGATCCCTGGTCGGTTATGCCGGCTTTACTCTTTAGTTAGTAGAGTAAATGACAAAAATCATAAACTTTATAAGCATTTTGTGTATAAATAAAAATAGCATAAAACCATATGCATTCTTTGGTTAGAGTAAATGATAAATATTGATAAACTGTATATGCAATTTTGTATAAATAAAAAATAGCATAAAACTATGCATAGTATATGTTTGTCTTTAATGCTTAATGATAAAGTTATAGATAGATGTTCCTTTTCGTACTCTTAGAAACACGAAATGAAAAGAGGAAAAAACATATAGAAGAAAACTAAAAATCAAAAGCTCATCTTATAAGTTAAATTTACCAGCTTAGACAACAAATAAAAACTACACAAACTACCATCCAAGTTTTGAAGAAAAAATATGGTCAAAAATTATTTTCCATGTAGTTTCACAAAAACAACAAAAATGAAAAACAAATATTTTTTCCATCTAATGAAAAACAAATATATAACTTCCTGACAGTCACATTTTTTGCTTTACGTCTTTAAAATGTTTTCAAAGAAACAAAAGATTTTGACCAAAAAAAAAAAAAAAAAAAGAAACAAAAGATACACCCGACTGTTTTTGTTGACCACCTGCTACTTGCCGTAATCGTTATTCACTTTTTCTTACTAATAAATTGTTGTATTCTAGTTTCAATTTTGAAAGCCATGGCTACAAGTTTTCAAAAATCCAAAAAATAAAACTAAATTGAAATCAATATCCGGATCCAACACCCGAACAAACGAATAATTTGTGATGCTTTGCATCTGGGATATTCTCAAACCTAATCCAAGTGGTTAACGAGTCAAATCCTTAAGTTTAATATTTAATCATTGTCCTGCATTTGATAGTACATAGGAGTAGGGCATAGCATTAACTGTTTTTATGGAATAAGACAAAAGATATATATACATATAATGAAATATAAAATCAGAAAGGGGAGACATACGGCAATTTTTTTAATTTGAAGAATTATCATGTCTAATTGTAATCATAGCGTTAGAACCAACTTAATCAGTGTTGTCTAATGTCTACAGATTTGAATGATTATTGATGCTTTAATTTACATTTATGCTTCTTTATTTATTTCGTTATTTAACAAAGTAGTATACAACGTATTATATCTAACAAAATGGCTATAGGGCTATGTACCTCGATTCCGAAACAACAACAATATAAAATGTATACTACTCCATCTGCTTGATTTGGTCGGTTGAAAACGTGAGAATTATTTCATTTCACTAATTGGGAACCATTATCTCACAAGATCATTTCCAATCTATATCATAAGGTGTAAGACTGTGGTTGATAAATTTTTTGGGCCGTGTTAATTTTTTTAGTTCCACATGTGACACTTTTTTTTGGAAGTAAATCAGAATTAAATTACTAGTTTCTTTTATTCTCTCCTCTTCAAATCATTAACAAATGTTGTTTTAGAATTTCTGAAAATTTTAATCTGCAATTATCTGAATTTCCTAACTAAAGAAATAATCAAGAACAAAAAAAACAGACCAAGATTTCACCAGTCAACTATTTTTGTAGGAGTGTAATAAATATTTCGATTTATTTCTTTAATTTTCAAAAAGAAATAATGAAATTACCGTATGCGTATCCCAACAGTTACGAATCAGGTAATTCAAACAGAATATGAACCGGATAACTCAAACCGGACATGGTCCGAAATAGACAAGCCATAAATGTAAAAGACGAAAGTAAGGGGAAAATACATAAATAATAAAAGAATTGGGGATAAAATGACTAAAAAAGTAAAAACAGACAAAACGTAAAGGTAGATAGATAATTAATGAAAGATAGAGAGCTAAAGTGTAAAATTCAAAACTTCTGAGTTCGTGGGTCCATAAGAGAGAGAAACTAAAGTCACATAAGCCTCTCCCACTCGTATTACTCGGAAGAGACTTTTTTTTTTTTTGTTCTTCTCATAGATTCTGAGAGATAGAAATTCCAAGCAAGCCCACGTTTCTAGAGAGAGAGAGAAAACAAAATAGAGCAAAAGCAAAAGTAAACGAGGAGAAGAAGAAGAAGAAGCAAGTGGTGGAAGACGGAAAGAAGCAGGGGATTTTTCTTTGTTTACTTGATCGGTCTCCGGTGAAAACGGAGCCGGAGAGGTGGTGTGACGGCGGATGTCATTTCTTCTCCGGTGACGCGATAGTTGTTCTGTGTTATTTTACCGCGCCGGAGTTTTTGAAGTTTTCGTCTGCTTCAAGGTTGCTTGAGCTGCGATATCGTCAAATATCAATTCGTTGATTCGAAGGAATATTCGCCGTTGGTGAATTCGTGTTTTTTGGAGTTTGATTAGGTTTTAATCTGAGAGAAGGAAGAAGAGAAAGAGAGATAAGGAGGGAGGGATTTTGATTTGGGTATAATAGATGAAAGCTCTGAGAAGAATTCAAACGACGTCTTCGTCTTCTAATCCTTCATCGCCATTATCATCTCCTCCTTCTTCCTCATCATCTTCGTGGATCCATTTGCGTTCTGCTCTCTTCGTTGTTGCATCTTCATCTCCTGCGTCTTGTTCTTCTTCTGATCGGTGAGTCTTTTAGATCTCTCTATCTCTTTCAATTTCTGTACCTTTTTACTTTCTTCTATTGGCTAATTGTTAATACTATTAAATTAGATCTCTAAGATCTCGATTTTAGATTTGATTTCGTGTCCTCCTGATGAATGTAGCTTCAACAAAAACCAAAAATAATTTTTTTTTTATTTCAAACTGAATCAAAGCTCCAGTTTTTATTTGTTGCTAATGAATATTTTTAGTATGATTTGGATAAAGTTATTTACATTTGTTTTGGCTATTTCCATCGACCGGAATCAAAAATATTCAGCTAAATCTGAATTAGTTTGGTCAGTGCATTTAAAGCTCCATGAGGCTATTTTTGGATATGTTCTTGAGAACAAAGTAAGCACATTTTTTTTAAATCTCTGTTTCAGGGCTCGTCTCAAATCACCATGGTCCCGGAGGAAACGAAAAAGGCCACTCAGAGCTCAGCAGTGGAAGAGGTTTTTCACTCCCGATGGTAGACTTCGTAACGGAGGAGTTGATTTGTTGAAGAAAGTCCGAAGTAGAGTGAGTCACATAGCTTAATGGACCCACTTCACTCACAATCACAACCATTTGTGGGTTGTTGAGTTTAAAGAATGTTTTTTTTTTCTGTCTCTTGTTTCTTTGTAGGGTATTGAGCCGAGCATTCGGTTTGAGGTGTGGCCATTCCTTCTTGGAGTGTAAGTTATACAGTCAAAAACTCTATTATGTGAAGCATTTTGCAACAATGGATTTATGAAATGAGTAGTTTTAGTTAAGAGGAAACCGAAACGTTAAAGCTAATGTACTTATCTTCAAACAGGTATGGTTTTAATAGTTCCAGAGAAGAGAGAGTTACTATAAGAACACGGAGAAGGTGAGATTGATTGATTGAATCACCACTTTGTGGAAAGTTTTATACTTTTCTTTCTGTTCTGTAGCTCATCTGTTTTGATTGTACAAATGCAGAAAGGAGTATGAGAGACTACGCAGGCAGTGCAAGCGGCTTCAAAAGCACAATAACGGCACTCTTAAGTTAAACAGGGCCAGTGAAGCTATGGAGGATGAGTACGATTGGCCTCGAGTCCAAGACACTGACAGTTCATGTTCTGACGAAGTTGTAAGTGCCCGCGAGTCACTCTCCAGCGAAGACATCACTGAAGATATCGGGTACATGAGCGAAGTTTCATGTACAGTTGAGAGCAGAGACGGAAGCAGTTCAAGACGAATCACCAATGCTACTATCTCTACACTCAATTCCGAGTCATCTGATTCAGAGTCTTCAGATGAGAGTGAAGTGGTACAGGTCTTTCAGTCTTCCGGTACTCCTGATGTGAATTATCCGGCAAGCTCAACTATCCCTCGGACGGAAGAGGATTTCGTGACGTGGCAGCGTATTATCCGTCTAGATGCCGTGCGTGCCAACTCAGAGTGGATTCCGTTTTCTCCATCGCAGGCGGTTATATCCGAGGACAGAGCGTGTCGTGCAGCTGAAGCGGTTGGTTTAAAAGATTACACTCACTTGGAACCGTACAAAATCTTTCAAGCGGCACGGCTCGTTGCTGTTCTTGAAGCCTATGCTTTATATGACTCTGACATTGGTTACTGTCAAGGAATGAGCGATCTTCTGTCTCCTATTCTCTCCGTAATCCCTGATGACCACGAAGCCTTTTGGTGTTTTGTCGGGTTCATGAAGAAAGCTCGTCACAACTTCAGGCTCGACGAGGTCGGGATCAGAAGACAGCTCAACATAGTCTCGAAGATAATCAAATCCAAAGACTCTCAGCTTTACAGGCACCTGGAGAAACTCCAAGCAGAGGACTGTTTCTTTGTATACAGAATGGTTGTTGTGATGTTCAGACGAGAGCTGACACTCGACCAGACGTTTTGTTTGTGGGAAGTGATGTGGGCGGATCAAGCCGCGATCAGAGCCGGGATGGGGAAATCCGCGTGGAGCAGGATAAGGCAGCGTGCACCTCCCACAGATGATTTGGTGCTCTATGCTATAGCTGCCTCTGTGTTGCAGAGGAGGAAGCTTATCATAGAGAAGTATAACAGTATGGATGAGATTCTAAGGGAGTGTCATAGTATGGCGGGACAATTAGATGTGTGGAAGCTTTTGGATGATGCACATGACCTCGTTGTTACTCTCCACACCAAGATTGAGCATTCGTTCTCATAAATTTTATCTTCGTTTTAAAGATTTATCGACTGGTCTAAAAAGGCGGGGTTCTTGGTGAATTCCATCCACGGTTCCTTGCAGGCCGAATTGGCCTTGTGAGTATGAGCTTTTGTCTGAATCCTGGCCTAACGAAATGAGGCTAGAGATTGGAAGAGATTGGTGAATAGAGAGGTTCAGGTGTGTATTTAATCGAAAATAAATGTATGTGTGTATTGTGAAGACGGTGAAAAGATTTGGGGAAGGGTTTTGCAAATTCCATAAGAGGAGAGATTCTTTGCCTGAGAAATCAGGCTGCTTCATAGATAATGCATATGGAAACAAAGATGTGGAAAGTGGATTATACCTAACCGGAGAGGAGAATCTTTGTCCGGTTATAGAAAAGAGACGAGTTGAGTTGACTGTAATAACGGTCAATGTGGCAACTCATTTTCTCGTTAAGTTTCGTTTTTTACGTTTTGGTAACGAGATTAAAAGTTGTATATTTTTTTTGTTGATAAAAGAGAAAATTGTATGCTTTTGTAAGAAAAAAAATTGCAATTATATATAAAATCTAAATTGAAAAATTCGTCATATATCATGATTATGTTAATTATTAATTTTGATGTACCTAATTTTATATAATAAGATAGTGATAATAAAACAAAATTTTATTTGATTTCAAAGATTTTTTAGAACATCTATATAAGCGAATATCTTAACTATAAATATAATATTTTAATATATAACTAAAGTTTAATATTTAAAATATATATAACCAATTAAAAAAGAACATATGTTAAAGGGTATTTTTTTCCATGAATTTAAATATGGTTCTCAAATAAAAACTCAGAACTCTTTCTCTTTTTTTTTTTCCCGCCTAAAATTCGTAGAATTCGTTGAGAGTTAGAATAGATTCGTAGCTACGAACTAATGGATCGGATCGAATTAGAAAATGGAAAGATTTGAACAAATTATACCTTTCGTCATCATTTTGTGGAAAACCGTTAGATATAAATATGTTAGATACCTGTGACTCGATTGACGAAGCAGAAATAGTATCAACTAATCAGAATGATTCTTTATTAGACCATGATATTTGATTCGCCAACTACATCATTATTGTATATTCTTTCATATGTATAGCGCAACCTAATACTTGTTTTTCAAGTTTAGAATCTTCCTCCGTACTACTTGATTTTAGTGTTAGGCCATTCTCTCTAGCTGCTGCAGTAGCAGGCACGTATCGAAGGGGAAGAGGAGTCAGCGTAAAGTTACGTAGCCTAACTGTTCGGTTATTCAATCATATCCGATTTGGTCCATTTCGCATAGACCTTTGTATAGCTGTTGAAAAAGCCTCATAGTCCTTACCAAGTCCTTGCAGCAACTTCATAGGTTCGGATACTGCTTTGCCGATTGAGCTAAGCTGGTAAGGTAACATATATGTTTAAACTGACTGAGAGAGTCTTCTCCATGCTTTTTCCATCCTTTCTTATCATTTGCAGAGAGCTAGCTTATTAGCAAAGAAAAGTCACGGGAGATAGAACAATGATTGAAATGATCAGCCAAAGAGAGACCTCCTGAGCTGTTGCAAGTCCAAATACATATCCAATAGCTTCTTCAGAGAGAGTACAAAAAATCCAGGACTTTCAGAGTTGATCGGTGCCAGGCATCATATAGTCTGGGAATCTCCTCTTCTGCATGGCTAAAGGTGAGGTTGCTGTATTTGGTCCACCAGAATTTACTGGCCGATTTAAGCCTAGCGGAAAGGGAGGGATATATAAATAATCCGATGGTTCCTTCTCTTAGCGTCAGTGAACCAAGTTCAGTGATCTAATCAGCCACGAAAAGTAAGAAAAAAGGAACTTTTGAGCTCGTCAACCACTTCGGTGAAGGAATGGGAATAGACCCGATCCGGTTGTTGGTTTCAAACCCTCTTAGATGGAGCCTCAACAGCAGCTAGATCTAGAGGGAAGTTGTGAGCATTACGTTCATGCATAACTTCCATACCAAAGTTAGCACGGTTAATAATATCAGCCCAAGTATTAATAACACTTGACTATCAACTACTGATTGGTTGAAATTGAAACCATTTAGGTTGAAAGCCATAGTGCTAATACCTAAAGCAGTAAACCAAATACCTACTACCGGCCAAGCCGCTAAGAAGAAATGTAAAGAACGAGAATTGTTGAAACGGAAGATCAATCGGCCAAAATAACCATGAGCAGCTACAATGTTGTAAGTTTCTTCTTCTTGACCGAATCTGTAACCTTCATTAGCAGATTCATTTTCTGTGGTTTCCCTGATCAAACTATAAGTTACCAAGGAACCATGCATAGCACTAAATAGGGAGCCGCCAAATACACCAGCTACACCTAACATGTGAAATGGGTGCATAAGAATGTTGTGCTCAGCCTGGAATAATCATTAGAAGCACGTACCGGACACCTCACCTATTGTCGTCTACTGGCGGCCACTTGTCATAAAAAGAAAAGAAAGAGCACGCCGTAAGCGCACGAAACTATGAGCTCCTAACTACCGTGTAATCAATATCTCCTTACCCCCATGCATACTAAAACTAAAAGAATAGGACAAGGAAGTGACATATAATACTAATATAAGAGAAAGCTGGTATTCAATTAGCTAGAGAGGGAGACAGGGCTAAGGCAGATGTCAGTCTAATCTTCCTTAGAATGGCTTGTGCAATTGAAGCTTGGTTTAATAATAGTATAAGGAAGCTGGCTTTCTACTCCTGCTTCCTTTTAGATCAAAGTTCGACAAGTGCACCTCTATTGATTAAAGGCGTGATTCGTACATCTTTGAATAGTATGCCACCGATTATCCAATCAATCATTTCCATCTTTTGCTTTTATTGATCACATATGTTTATCTGGTTTAAATCAGTTGGTAATGCAGGACAATAAGCAGAACTGTAAACATCCCCTTGTCATCTGAGTAATCTAAGTCTTCCTCTTTTTAAAGCAGCAATTTAAGTTGAGTTCCTTTGGACTTCTTCTGAAACCGGTTCTTCTCCTTTTGGTAATCAGAGGATTTTTTTTTTTCCTTTTCTTGATCTTATGCTTTTCCTCTCCTTTCGCAGGGATGGACCCCAAGTAATATGAGAAATCTGAGTTCTTTTTTTTCTGATGCTTGCCCTTACGCATCCCTAGCGCATCAAAGGAAGTTCTTGACTTTATCTTACACGTGCGTGCTGTCCGCATCTGCCAATAGTAGGAGCTAGCACAAAGCTGCTAATCCCAGGACCTATCCCTTGAAAGGTACCTTTCGTTTTTCTTGGCACTTCAGTTTTAGGGGTATCAGCACCTGAAAAGTTATGAAACGTGCGATTGCCAGTAAGCAACTTGAAAGGTTTTTACAAGGGCCTACCCTAAATCTGATACTTTATTGGGTCGGATGCCCAGCTTTCTTGGATGGGATAGATACAACAGGTGATTGATCTCCCATTTCTGTCATCCTTAATTTCCCAATTCCTAGCGCAGCAACTTTTACTTTTCTTGATCTTTTGCTTTTCCTTTTCTTTTCGCAGGGATTTATACTTTGACTTGATAGAGGTAAGGGATCCCGCCCAATATGTCAACATGCCAACACATGCCACACCAATATGAGTTGAGTTGGCCCTGATAAGTGGTGTTCAATCTTCCTACCCTTATATTTCAGAGGTCCTATCACCTTCATACCCCTCGAAACGTGGGTTTTCAACTATAGACATTTCGATGAGCAACCTAAAAGTAGAAGTTTATTGTGGGAGATAGATGAATCTCCAATTGATATCATCTCGAATTACGAAGATTGGTTCTTTCTTTTCATTCTGAATTAGCAGAGATATCTCCCACCTTCTACCAACAAGTCGATTATCAACTGACGAAAAATTTGATTGAAGCTTTCCTCTTTCCTTTCCTCTGCTGCTTTTTGCCAGGGATCTACCACCAAGTCGATATGAAACATGAATGTGTTAATAGTGGTCGTCGATTTTATAAAAGTGTGATGCTGGTTTTCGTAGATTGGTGGTAAGCTTAATAGAAGCAACTGGTGAATTAAGCTTTCATCTCTCCTATCCTAGCACACCCCTTAAAAGCGAAGCAATTCTTTGCCACGGATCAACTACCAAGTCGATATGAAACATGAAAAGTGTGATGTTGGTTTTCGTCGATCGATAGTAATGTATATAAAAGCGATGGATTTGAGTTGACGATCGAAGGTGTAAAGTAGGTAATAGCGATTGTTGAGTTGAGTACAGCCTGGATCAATCCTCCCCTCGACAAGGATCAACCAAGAAATAATCGTCGATGATTACAATTTCAACATATCATGTATTGATAGGATTGGTTGATTTGATTGATTTGAAGTGTGATTCCCCTCGTATGAAGCGGATAATCAATGAGTCCCAAACCCGATAATTGATCAACCCTTCTCGTCTTTTTTCATTTATTGATTAATCGTTTTGAATCGATTGTGTTTCTGGTTTTACAATATAGTCAAGTGTTCCAACATTTGAATGTTGATGTTAGATTTTGAAGGTTAGACTGGTTAAGTGGCTACTACCGTTTTGGGTATCAATCAGGTTCAAGACCAGAAGTAGCTGAGAAAGAAAAGGATCCTCATTCCAGTCAAACCAGTGCTAGTTACTTATCCTTCAGGGGAGTGTGCTTGAGCAGTGTGCTGCGAAACGTGTCGTTCGTAATGGAAAGAAAAAGAAGAGAAATATCTCCTTTTAAATGCCTCAAAGCTGTAAGCTTTTTCCTTTCGATATTTATGACTGTTTATTTAGGATTTGACAAAAGTCCTCTTTTTTCCACTCCAACTTGGATTTTCCTCTTTTTCATATTTTGGGTAGTGAGTTTTTGCTTTCATCTTTACTCTCATCATTTAAGAGGCCGGTTTGGAGAGTTTTTTTGGGGGGTTTTGTTCTTTTTTTCTTTTCATTCTTGGGTTACTACTTCTTTCTTGCACGCGACTAGCCTTGCAGTTTGGGTTAGCAGAATTCTACTCCTTCTTGTGGGTGGGAGTACTAACTCTTGATGGACCCGGAGAAATGGTGGGTTCTCGGATGATGCCCGCCGGCTCAGATTCTACTAATAGCGGGAGCTGGCGAGATTTTCTAAACCCTTCTCTGGAGAGGGATTCAGTAGGAGGGGGAGCACTTACTTCTACGGGCCCTAACGGGGCGGGGCTCCCCTCCATGTGGGAGGAAGATTCGTTTGAGCTGGACGTTCTCGAAGAATCATTCTCATCCTCCAAAACGGTCACAGACTCCCCCCCGGCAGAGGAGTCCCAGGGGGAACCCTCGGTAAATCGGCGTAGTCCCGAGGAAGCTGGGCCAGCGCTTCCAGCTAATCCAGTCCTTTCCGGGGGGACGAAGCTGGGCCATCTCATAGAGTGGGATCCTATCAGGACCAAGGCCTACCTACTGATAGGAAAGGTAACCCGATGGATCTTAATGCTCGGCCCTCCCTATCATACGAGGAAATCGATAATTCCGACTCTTTACGAGCGCGGAATCTCCAATTATTGGAGGATCTGGAGCGAATCCAGGAAATGGAACGGAACCTCCAGAACGAGAGGGATCCCGACCGTCGTTGGGAAGTAGCCGCCTGCATAGATCGGGCGGCGTGCGAGCTGGAGCAAAAAATTGCTCTCTGTCAAACCCGGGATACTGTTCAAGATGATCAACTGGACGTATGGAGGGAGGGGCTTTATGAGGAATTAGCAACGCAAGGGGAGAAACAGGCCCGCTTTGCGTTACTAATTTCGTGGCTCAAGGTGATCATCCATACACGGAATCACCAACCCCCCAAAAACTAAAACTTTCGTTCTTTTCTTTTTTTTTTACTTGATTGGCAGGTGTACAACAACCTTAACCGCGCAAGCCTGGGCTGGGCCTACCTCCATCCTTAGAGGAGCCGTATGAGGCGGAAGTCCGCCTATTCGTGGGTCATTTATGGCACGCGGGAAGGGCTCGGGCAGCGGCAGCAGGATTTGAAAAAGGAATTGATCGTAATTTTGAACCTGTTCTTTCTATGACTCCTCTTAACTAAAGTAGTAGTTAAAATAGGAAAGTAAAAATCGGTTCATATTAAAAAGTCTTCTTTGTTTCTTTCAATTCAATCTAATTTTTTCTGGCAAAGAAAAAAGGGATCTGCCTCGTCTCTCAACTGACTGATCTATCAACGATCTTTCTTCTCTTATGAAATTGATAGTTTGTGAGAGGGATGCAATAACTCAACTGTAAGGTCCACCAGGTCCGTAGGAGAGTCAGTCTTTCTCTAAGCAAGCTGTTTTCTGGCCTATACGGAAGGAGTTTTCAAGGAGGAACCTAGCTTCTTCAACGAAGCCGGAGGAACCCCTTTCCTTCCGTCAGTCTCCAATTTTCGTTAGTTCTCTCTCTTAACAGAGCGGAATTTTTCCAGGTTTCAGTCTCTTTCGCTTACTGACGAACGGGCAGAGGTGAAAGCAGTAGTTTCGAAAGCATAAAGATTTACCGTTTCAAAGAAAAGAGTTTGATTACAGCGACCAGAAGGTAGCACGAAAAGCTGAGTCAGTAGATTTTTTCAGAAATCTATTTCGTCGACCAGAAGATAGCGAGATAAGCCGAGTCGGGAGATTTGTCCGAACGAAGAGAAAGGAGATTCTTTCACATCCCATATAGCTTACGCTCCTCGCCCAAAATATGCAGCTGCAAGTGCTGGTTCAGCTACAACGGTAACTAGAGGAAGAAGCCCTAGTATGCACCTTAGGAACACTCTAGCTACATGATTCCATGAACCGGTACATTCATAAGATATTGACTAAACACAGCAGAGCAACCCTTAACCGCTCACACATCTTACCCATCGTTGTCGACAAGCTAGCTCCCCGGGTAATCCTACCATGAGCTACACTTCATGACAGAACTCATTGGAACTAAGAAAAGTCATACTACTCCGGAGAGGTAAGCGGGAAAGAGAAGGTACTTTTACGAAATCAATACAACAATAACACTCAAGTCTTTCCATAAGTTGACACATCAGATTTTTTAATCTTTGAGAAACTGACATCTCAGCTATTTTACAAACCAATCAAATTAAAACATTAATACAACTCATCTACTTATTTAAATTTTTTAATTTTAAACCAATTAAAAATCCAAATACATTTTTTGTTAATAATTTGTTTTATATTTAACTAATCAAAGCCCAAATAATAAATAAAAGTAAATAAAAAAAAATCTTTATTTTATTGTTTGCCAAATCCAAGCCCAAATAATAACAGAAAATAAAAAAACCTTTGTTATATTGTTTGCCAAATTCAAGCCCAAATTAAAAATAACAGCAAATGAAAAAAATTAAATCTTTGTTTTATTTTTTACCAGACCCAAATCCAAATAATAATTAACAGCAAATAAATAAAAAAATTTCTAGCTATTTGTTAATTTGACAGAGACGTATATGATTGAAAAAGTGTAGGCTCATTATCAACTATGTTTCCATAACAACAACGCAAAAAACTTTATGTTATAAGAAGCTCACACATCAGCAAAACTTTGAACCAATAAAAACATAACAATAATACATATCATTAACACACTAATAAAATCAGTTTACTATTTTGCAGACCCATTAAAAAGCCCAAAAGTTTACAAAAAATGGAAGTCGAAAGCAAATGAGGAGAAGCTGAGAGCACCATAACTTGGAGATTCGCATTTCCGGTGGTTATTCAGAACAAATTTTCATAGGTTTAGCGGGAATAAGAAATTTCTTGGTTTCAGTAGGAAAATGTGATTTTCAGTTTTGTTGAAAAACATTATTTCTTGGTTATGGCGGAAAAATGAATCATCGGGTTTGGCAGAAAAATGTGAATTTTTGGTTTTCATGAGAAAAAAAAAATTGATTTTGACGCGAAAACAAAATATCTTAGTTTTGACGAGAAAATGCGAGGGAAATGCAACTTTTCAATTGACAAAAAATACGATATCTTGGTTTTGATAGAAAATGCAAAATTTCGGCTTTTGGTGGATAATGTGATTTCTTGATTTTTGCGGGAAAATATGATTTCTTAGTTTTCGTGGGAAATTGTAATTTGACGATTTTGGCGAAAAATACAATTTTTCAGTTTGATGGGAAAACAAAATTTCTCGATTTTGGAAGGAATAATCAATTTTTCGGTTTTGATGGGAAATGCAAATTTTTAGTTTTTGACATATAATATGATTTTTTGGTTTTTGCGGTATAATGCGATTTCTTATTTTGCGCGGAAAACATAATTTCTCAGGAGATAATGTATTTTTTGGTTTTCGCGCGAAATTGTAGTTTATCAGTTTTGATAGGAAGGCCTGATTTTTGGTTTGACGAGATTTTTTTTTTTTTTTTTTGAGGGAATTGACATTTTCTCGATTTTCATGGGAAAATGATTTTTTTTTAGGGAATTTTTTTTGGTATGAAAAATTGATTTCTTTGTTTTGATGAAAAACACAGGTTCTCGCACGAAAATGTGATTTTTTTATTTTTGCGGAAAAATCAAATTTCTCTGTTTTGGTGAAAAATGAAATTTCTGGTTTGACGAGAAAATGAATGTTTTTGATTTTGGCGGGAATATGTGAAATGAATTTTTTTTGTTTTGTCGAAAAGTGCGATTTCTCAGTTTTTGTAAGATGATAAAAATTTCTTTGTGCTAAATTTTCAAGTTACGATATGTTTACACTAACCAAAATTTAATTATTTAACTTCAACTAAATTGATATTTCAAGAGTTCAAACATAATTTTCTATTTAGTTCTAAAACAATAACAATAATTTTGATATGAATGTTATTGATTATAGTTTGGTAGTTTTATAAACGTATATTTATAGTAAATATTTGATAAATAAATAAATTTTATAATTCAAAATAATCATATTAATTAATAAAAAAATTAAAAATGGCAATTTGCTTTATATAATTTCAAAAGAGGATCAAGTGTCAATTCAGTAGAGATAACAAATTACATTTGCCATTACCATAAAGGTACTTAAAATATATTGTTTTATTCTTACATATACATTTATAGATAGTTAGCTAAACATATTTGATAGTAGATTATAATTTTAAAAAAATTAAGGATATATAATGTTTATTCAGATTTAAAACACATAAATACATAACTTAAGTTATAACAAATAAATATAAAACTTATTTACATTATAAAATAATTTTATTATATTAAAAATATATACAAAATTTAGAAATATATTCATCAGCGTAACGCGGGTGTATACCTACTACTTTTAATAGACATACTCTTAGAATTTATGCTCATTGACGGGATGATTAAAGAAAAAGAAAACGACAACCTCATATCAATAATTTATATGCTACTTACTAATATGATTAAGTATTTTTTCCATCAATATATATATACTAATATATATATATATATAATCATAAATCTATAATGCTACAGTTTTATGATATATAGTTATGTAAAGTGCTGTTTTTAGGCTATTTATTACTGCAAAGACATTTCTTTTATACGATATATCCGTAGATAAGAAGATTGAAAGTAGAGAAGCGGAAAGAAAATCAAAAACCTAAAGTTTCAAATTCAAAGATTTTTATACTTTTGTTTACGTCGACTATGCGACTATATTTACATCAACTCCAATCAAACATAATGTAAAGCCTCAACGCAATCTAATAAAATAATGTTAAATAATTTAACTGAACTTTCCTTCGTATAATGTTATGGGAACACAAGTTTCTATTATTTAAGAGGAAAAAAGGTTATTTTCAATTCACACTATTACATATTTCATATTTTTGAAAATAACCGTAGTCATATTACTTTAAGTTTCCGAATGAAATATAAACTTTGGAGCCGGAGGGTGCGGAGATTATGGCCCGACCCCGAAAAAACGTTTGCTGATTTGCGCCTAACCCATTGAAATTTTGAAATTTTATTAGTATTTACTTGGACTTCGTAGCGTGTAGAAACTGGCAACGAGTAGCTACCAAAACTTACGTTAGAAAATTAAAGAAAACATGCCACCACGCAGTTCACAATCTCTATATAACAGCAGCATCTCATAGTTTATTGGCAACCAAGTCATATAAACCCAAACAATTATATCAAAAAACAGTTCATACATTTTCTCTCTAAGAGAATGGTTTCGATCATTTTCTTCATTCTAGCCATTTTTTTGAGTTCCAGAACTTCAGGAGCCACTTCTCGTGCGGGGCTCTTGGAACCTTCCGCCACGGATAAACACGAGCAATGGATGGCTCGGTTCCGTCGTGTTTACTCTCATGAATCTGAAAAAGCAAAAAGGTTCGAGATCTTTAAGAAGAACTTGAAGTTCGTCGAGAGCTTCAACATGAACGCAAGCATAACGTACAAGTTGGATGTCAACGAGTTCTCTGATCTCACCGACGAGGAGTTCCGGGCGAGGTACATGGGGCTAGTGGTTCCCGAGGGCATGACCGGAGTCTCAACATCCAACGAAACGTCGTCGTTTAGATACGAAAGTGTGAGTGAAACCGGCGAGAGCATGGATTGGAGACAGGAGGGTGCTGTTACATCCGTTAAGAACCAAGGCCAATGTGGTAGTTACCTATCATAACTTTAATCTTTGTTCTTTTTTTCAACATTCATTTCATTGAATTTGATTTCCAAATGGTAACAAAACGACTATAAACCACTAGGTTACATAACTATATTTGTTTTCCGCTAGGTTGCAAAAGAATATATATAAAAATAAAGATATTTATGAAAATGGAACAGGATGTTGTTGGGCTTTCTCAGCAGTGGCAGCCGTAGAAGGCATAACGAAGATTGCTAAAGGAGAGCTTATATCGCTCTCGGAGCAGCAATTGGTGGATTGCAGCAGAGACTTCAACAACGGATGTGGTGGAGGGATAATGTCGAAAGCTTTCGAGTACATTATAAACAACCAAGGAATCACCACAGAGGATGACTATCCTTACCAAGAATCACAGCAAACCTGTTCTTCAACCACCGAATCAACTGATTCAGCTGCTGCTACCATCAGCGGATACGAAACGGTTCCAAGTGACGACGAGGAAGCATTGTTAAAAGCGGTGTCTCAACAGCCTGTTTCCGTGGTGATAGATGGGTCGGGGGATGCGTTTAAGTACTATTCCGGCGGCGTATTCGACGGAGAATGCGGGACGGAAATGAGTCATGCGGTTACGATTGTTGGTTATGGGACGAGTGAAGAAGGGACTAAGTATTGGTTGTTGAAGAACTCGTGGGGAGAGACTTGGGGAGAAAATGGTTACATGAGAATCAAGAGAGACGTTGATGCACCCCAAGGAATGTGTGGTTTGGCCAGACTTTCTTTCTATCCAATTGCTTGAATCCTATTGTGTTGTTCGAATATTATGTAAGTGGGGTTGTTCAGAGTGTGAGAACATCTCTTAATAACAATAATTGACCTTTTGCAGTCATATACATTTTGCAAGTTGTGTTAGTCGGAAGCATGTAATACATTCGTGTAATATATATAAAGTTCATATTAATGAGATAGGGGTTTCCATAGGGGAGATACTTTGTATGAGATATTAGGTGTTGATGCATACGGAAACAAAGGTGTTGAGAATGTGTTTTTGCAGGCGTCGCTGGAATAGTAAACCGGAGTAAATAATCTAAATCCGGATAAAGAAATATGGTTCTAGAAAAGAGACATGTACTTCTGAGTTGACTGTAATAAAATGAGTGTGGTTTTTATTTTTATTTTTGTATGAATGAGTGTGGTTTTTATTATGATCAATGACATGGCATCTCATTTTCCTTATGTTGCGTTTTTAAGTTTTGTTCACGAGATAAATAGTCTATGTTTTCAGACACAGAAATTTGCTATACTTATAAAATCATAAAGTAAAAACCTAAAAACTTATAGAATCACTAAGGTCAGAAGCAAGTCAAGGTCTATTTTTTTTTGCTTTATAAAAATGTTTTAAGATGTAAAACTGTGAAAAATATTGATTCAAAAGTTTAACCAAATAACAGTACTAAACAAATTCATACTAGATTTAATTAACCTCGTTTTGATTATTTACAACTAGTGTGACTCATAGTTTTTCAAATCAGAACCAAACTTAAAGTAGTGTTAATATATTGTCTACAAAAGGCTTAAACAAATACTTTATATTATGCTTGGTATATCCTCTATGTATTAAAAGAGAAGTATTTTTAAAGAATAACCTTAATTTTATAAAATATTACAATGGTGCTATTTTGCTGATGTGTCATCACCAGAATTATTTTCAGCAAAATTATAAAAATAGACTTATGTTACTAGATTAATTACATGTTATGCTATTCACATTAATTTGGTTATACATTAGTTTATATCAATTATATTGATGATGATTCATCAAGATATTCTCTTTTTTTATTTTTTACCAAAAAAATATCATATTAATTCTTTCTTTAAATACTATATTTTATCTTTTATTTTTGTAGAAAAATAAATCATCACATCATTCATATAGTAAAATAATATAGTGTTATAATTCGAATTTTAAAAAAAAATATAAATTACTCAAATGATTAATAAATAAAAGTATGTTTTGAAAGACTAAAATTGAAAATAAGGATATGTAGATAGATGATTCATAAATTAATATAAAAAATACATAGATGATAAAAAAAAAAACAGAAAGCTTAATTCAATAGATATTATTATTATAATTATTTTTAGTTCCATATGGTTTTAGAACCATATAAATTAACCAAATAATATAAATATTTAAACTTTATAATAAGTATAAAATATTAATAAAAAGTTCAACTATAAAAAAGTAGTTGAATATGTTAATAGACTATAATATTATAAATATTTTATTTGATTAAAAAGTTAAATATCATAAATTTTTAATATTTTATTTGATTAAAAAGTTAAATATCATAAATTTTTAATTTATACAACAAAATAACTTGGTAAAAAATTAAAATATTTTTGTAAAGATATTATATAATAATTTTATTAAACTTTTTGATATTAAAAATATTTTTATTGAATCAAAAAGTTAAGAATGTATAAGTATTGACTCATTTATATACAATTTTAGATAATGTATTAAAATAATAAAAATATAATATATTTTTATATAATCCTTATGTATATTTAGTATTTAAAATAAATTTCAGAGTAATTTTCTTTTCTTAAAAGTTAATATTCTTATGACTATGGTTTTTGCGGATTAATCTAAATATGCATTTACATTTGTAAAAAAAATATTAAAATCGATTATGGAATCTTATAATCAAATTTTATTTTTACAATTTTAATATTCTCTATTTCAAAATATAAATTGTTTTGCATCAAAGCACAAAGATTAAAAGCAACTTTTCTTTTTAAAAAGTAATCATTTAGTATATAAATTAAATATAATTCAACTAATTATGAAAAACTGAAAAATATAATCGGTCACATAGTATTCATAGGAAGTAGTAAAAAAATGAAAACAAATATATTGTGAAACAAAATAAAACCTTAAAAAAAATTATGAAACAGATGAAATAGTAAATTTTTTTTATTATTATCATAATGCATTAGATACTTAATAATTTAATCAAAATATACTCCCTCTATTTTTTTAAAAATTTTAACATCATGTTATTAATCGTCGGTTATAGAAAATATAAAGAGTGACTTCATATTTCTATCCAGATTGCGCATAAATATTTAATTTTTAATCTAATTTACATTAGAATTAAATTATCTTATATTTCATAAAATAAACAAGAAAAAATATTTTGTCAATATTACAGCATAATGTTATAAACAACTCATATAAAATAAATTGTATTTTGTTATATGATTTTAAAATTATACTAAATTAAATAAATAATTATTATTTTACCCTGCACAGGGTGCGAGTTATTACCTAGTAATATATAATTGAAATGGTAAACTTTTTTTCCTTTTTTATAAAAGAAATGGTTAATTGCCATAGCTTGAGAGACCATCATTCCATTTAAAGAAAAATTGAGATGATTATAGACTCGGATATGACAATGTCTGATCAGATGAACAAGCTACAACCCCTTGGATTTAGCAAAAACCAGGAGAATGAAAATCAAATGAACAAGCTAGAACCCTTTGGATTTCCGCTGAAAAATTTAAAGATTTGTGGATTCATGCATGCTCATTGACCAGAGATCCAAAATTACAAAAGACTTCAGGCTTCAGCTAGAACGATTAAAAAAACAAAGAGCAAAATAAGAAAACGAATATAGTTGTCACTTGCTGCCAGGATGTTGGATATATAAGTCTCAAACATGATTTTAAATTAAAGGCTCATATGCAAGGATTTCCATCATAAATAACCTACAACTACAATGCTACAATTGTGTACTACAGACTACAGTGTTATAAAAGTATTGTTTTTAGGGTATATATAACCACAAAATATTAATTATTATTTGTCCGACTGGTGTAACAGGCCTAGCGATAAAAACTGGATGTACAATACCACTCCTGGAGTATTGAAAGATACGCAATATTTCGAAGATGAAGATATTTACGAAAGAGCCGTTGTATGATGAGTATAGTTAATCTTGGTCATTTATGTTTGCGAGTACGTACACTTTAGTCTCTTCGTACTATAAAACCTCTTATACAGTTATACGTATATACTAACTAATACGATTGAATCATAAAACATACTAGATGTTGGACCTGCGCGTCCGCACAGGTATATGATTCTTGAAGTAAATTTATAAATGTTTAAATTATGTAGTATAAGGAAATTTATATATTATGTATCACAGTTTTATTTCGAAAGAATTAATAGTCCGTTTTCACTACAAAAATAAGGTGTTTAGTGTTAGTTAATTAGAATTACTTTAACAAATAACGCTATATTAGTTTAAATGAAATTACTTTGTGTCAAATTATTAAATGATGTAAAAACGAGGTGTTTTAACGTTAGTTATTTACAATTACTTTAATCAAATAACGCTACATATGAATAAGCCAATAAGGTATATATATTTTATTATTAATTAACTAAATAATAGGTCACAAAATTAGATTTCTTTTTCGTCACAAACAATATTCACGATTTCGTCGAAGCTCAGTTGGATCATTTTCTTCTTCCTCGATTCTTCTTCGTCAATCTTCTTCTTCGTCAATCTTCTTCTACCTAGATCTTCTTTTTCGTCTATTTCCTTCTTCCTCGAATTCGACGGATCTTATTCTTCCATCTTCTTCTTCGATAGATTTTCTTCAGCTAAAAATTGGTGATGTTGATTCCTTAAGATTTTTCACTCAAATTTCTGGAATTCGAATAAGGTTAGTAATGTTGATTCCGTTAGATTTCTTCTGCTTTTATTGATGAATATACCTAATTTTGTTTTTCGATTTTGATTTGATTCCAACGTTTCTGGGTTCTCGGCATAAATCGATCATGAGATTTGTAGCTAATTAGATGATTGGTTTTAGATTAGCTGATTAGTGAACTGAAACGAAGCAGAAACATTGTCGATTTTCTCTGTGATATTCAGATTGTTCTGTGTCACCAAAGTGAATGGTTACTTAAGCATTTTCTCATTTTTGTAAGGCGTTGGCGAGTTGGCGAAGCTGATTTCATCTCTGGATGCTCATACAGCTCATAGTTTAACACCACTCAGAAAGGTCAGTTTCACATTTAGCGCCACTCTTAAATATTGTTTGATTATATGTTGAGAAAGGTGAATAAACTTTGATTTAGGACTTTGAGAAACTTGAACTGTGTTAAACTTTGAATAAACTTTGATTTAGGATGATTGGTTCGATTATATGTGTTAGAACTTTGAGAAACTTGAATTTTGTTAAACTTTGAATAAACTTTGATTTAGGATGATTGGTTTGATTATATGGTTATGTGTTAGAACTTTGAATGAACTTTGATTTATGATGATTGGTTGCCATTCAAGAATTGTGATCGTTTTGTTTGTTCCCTTAATGTATTTTCTTATGTGTTGCTTGAGCCTCTTTGTTGATGTTTAGTTGCCTTCCTTAGTTACCTTTGTGTAATTTTAGATGTTTATTATAAGGTACTATATTCTATTTGATCAGCTCATATACCACTGACAGATATGATGAATTGTGAGCTTTGTATTTTCTTTACTTTCACTTTTGAATAGCTGTGATACTTATGTTCTTTCCCATTTTCTTATGTTAGTTTTCACATTTAGCGCCACTCTTAAATAACCTAGATATGTTGTATGATTATGTGTTTTTAGAAAGGTGAATAGTTGTGAATAGTTTGACTACACTATGGTTATGTGTTTGAGAAATGTGAATAGTTGTGTTTGAGAAATTTGTTAAATGTGATTCGTTTATATGGTTATGTGTTAGAACTTTGAGAAACTTGTTAAATGTGATTCGATTATATGGTTATGTGTTAGAACTTTGAGAAACTTGAACTGTGTTCTACACCATCCTCGAAATGGTGTTTCAAACTGTGTTAAAATTTGAATGAACTTTGATTTATGATGATTGGTTTGATTTATTCGTAGATTCATTTTGAAATTGATAAATCTTGGATAACCAAAAATCGGTTATCTGAAGACTACATACGTGGAGTCACTAGTTTTTTAGATTTTGCATTTGGAAATATGAAGACAGACATGATCAAATGTTCTTGTCAGCGTTGCTGCCTTGTTAGACACAAGCTTAGGGTTGACGTTGAGGGTGATTTAATCTGTCATGGATTTCTTTCTGCATATACAAATTGGTATCTACATGGTGAAGAATTAGAGTCATATGAGGAGACAGTTAGTTTAGAATCTGAAAGTTTAGCTTTTCCCAGTATGAATAATACTGAAGACCCGATTCTGAATCTGCTAGAAGATGTTTTTCCCTGTATGAATAATACTGAAGACCCGACTATGGATAATAGTTTTGACTCTGAATCTGCTAGTCCCAGAGAAGATCATTCGAAGCAAAAAGAGGCCCTTAATGATTTGTTATCAGACTGTAATCAAGCTCTTTATGAAGGATGCCAGTCTTTTAGCAAGTTATCATTCATGCTTAAGTTGTACCACATCAAGTGTATGTCTAGGATAAGTGACAAAGGAATGTCTATGATAATTGACCTCTTGAAAGAAGCATTTGATCATGCAAAGCTGCCAGACTCGTTCAACGATATGAAGAAGATTATTCGTAAGTTAGGATTTACATATGAGATCATTCATGCGTGTCCTAATGACTGCATGCTTTATTGGGGAGATGATGCATCTAGGCACACATGTAAAGTTTGTGAAAGTTCAAGATGGAAAACATCTACGGCAGTTGATGATACATCTGTGGAGGTTGATAAAAATAAGAAGAAGAAAAGAAAGCAACAAGCTGCTAAAGTCCTTAGATATTTTCCTCTTAAACCACGGTTGCAGCGTTTCTTTATGTCATCCAAGACTGCTGAATATATGAGGTGGCATGATAGTTCTGAGAATAAAGATGGTAAGCTTAGGCATCCTAGAGATGGAATGGCGTGGAAAATATTTAATCAGGAATTTCCAGAGTTTGCATCAGACCCAAGGAATGTCAGGTTAGGATTGGCAACTGATGGTTTTAATCCGTTTGGTTCTTTGAACACAAACTACAGTGTATGGCCTGTGTTTTTATTCCCTTATAAATTTCCTCCTTGGATGTCAATGAAGCAAACATCAACAATTCTTTCAATGATAATCCCTGGGAAACATCAGCCGGGTAATGATATTGATATCTACCTACAGCCTCTTATCCAGGAACTAAGAGAGTTATGGTACGATGGAGTACCAAACTTTGATGCTTCTTTAAAAGAGACATTTTCTATGCGTGCGGTTTTGCTCTGGACTATTAGTGATTTTCCAGATCTAGGAAATTTATCTGGGTGGAACATTTACACAGGATTAGCTTGTCCTTCTTGTAACTATGATGCCAGAGAGCTCCGTCTACGCCATGGGAAGAAGAACTGTTACATGGGACATAGGCGTTTTCTTCCTGACAGTCATAGTTTTCGAAAAGATAAGCAGCATTTTGATGGTTTTATTGAAACAAGGACTTCTCCTATTACACCATCAGGAAGTGTTATTCTCCAACAAATGCAAAATGTTGATGTTACTTTGGAGAAGAAGATTGATTCTGTTGGAAAGAAGAGACGCCGAGTAGAAGCTGGAAAGAATCAGTGGAGAAAGAGGAGTATATTCTTTGAATTACCTTATTGGAAACATCTTCTTTTGCGACACAATCTGGATCCGATGCACATAGAGAAGAATGTGTTTGATAATCTTATTTTTATCTTACTGAATGACAAAGACAAGTCAAAAGACAATCTCAGTGCTAGAAAAGATTTGCAAGAGCTTGGTATACGTGAGGAGTTGTGGTCTGATGAAAATGGTAGGTACCTTCCAGCTTGTTTTACAATGACTACATCTGAGAAATATAGATTTCTTAACATATTGAAGAATGTAAAGCTCCCAGATGGGTATTCTTCAAATATTTCCAGGTGTGTTGATATAAATCAAAGAAAAATGGTTGGTTTAAAGAGTCATGATTACCATATTTTGATGTGTCACTTATTGTCTATCTCCTTACGTAATGTTTTACCACGTGAGGTCTCATTTGTTATAACAGAGTTGTGTCAGTTTTTTCGGGAAATCAGCCTAAAAGTAATTGATATTGAAGATATCAATAAGTTGCAGAAGCATATTGCACTTACATTGTGCCATTTAGAAATGATCTTTCCTCCATCATTCTTCACAGTAATGGTTCATTTAACCATTCATCTAACAAAAGAAGTGAAACTGGGAGGTCCAGCTCAATTCCGATGGATGTATCCAGTCGAAAGGTAACTATTAGTTGATTTTTGTGTTTACTGAATTTTTTTGTTGATTGAGCCTTTGTGTTGAGTGATTCTTTGTGTTGATTTTTGTTTATAGGATATTGGGACATTTTAAGTCATATGTTCGAAATCGAGCTCGACCTGAAGGTTCTATATGTGAGCAATATATTGCTGATGAATGCATTACATTTTGCTCTATGTATTTTGAGGGAGTGGAAACACGTTTTAATCGTGTTGGGAGAGTGGATGATAAAAATATGGTTCCACATGAGTTGGGTTCTGAGTCATGTATTCCAGTTATTTTTCCTGCACTTGGGAGATCCGTTGGTGCTTCTACGTTGGACACACTTAGTCCATATGAACGTCAGCAGGCCCATCGATATATCCTAGTCAATAGTTCATTTTTAGATCACTATCGAGAGTAAGATTTCTACTTCAATCTGCTTTGATGATTTGGTGTTTTGATGATGTAATGATTTGGGGATTTGATTATGTAGGTTATTTAAGAGTGAATTAATAAGGTCACAATCACGGCGTAGGAAAAGAGGAACTGTGATAGATGTAGATCAACATGTGCATCTCCATTTTAGTCAATGGCTTAAGCTAAAAATAGAGAAGAATGATCTTGATGGTATTTCTGATGATATTCGATGTCTTGCACCAGGTCCATCTGATAAGGTTTTAAAGTTTTCAGCATATAATATCAACGGTTTCAAGTTTAGAACTATAGAAAGGGATCAAGATTTAAAAACTCAGAATAGTGGAGTCTTTGTTTCAGCTGAGACTATTAGTTATGCAAGTTCTCGTGATCTTAATCCTAGAGTTGGGGATGTTTCTTACTATGGGAAGTTGGTTGAAATCATAGAATTAAACTATTATGATTCCTTTAGAATTGTGTTGTTCAAATGTAAATGGGCTGATACTCGTGATGCTCGAGGTTATAAGAAGGATGATCTCGGTCATACTATGGTAAATTTTTCCCGTTTAATACACACTGGAAGCGGTGAGGAAGATGAACCTTATGTGTTGGCTTCTCAGGCTAGGTTAGTTTACTATGTAGAAGATCCACAAGAAAAAGGATGGAGCATTGTTGTGCATGTCCAACCAAGAGACTTGTATGACATGGGTGATCCCACTATTTCAGAAGAAGATGAAATTATGATCAAGCTCCTCCTGATAATATTCAAAGATCATTGATTATATCTGATAATGTTCCTGACATTAGATTAGTGAGACAATTAGAAGATTTTGACAGTTCTCAGATTTCGTGTGATATGGAGGTTAAGACTCTGAATTGTACTTGTTTTACATTTCATGAAGACTCTAAACTTTATATATGACAATCTTTTTGCTACTTTTATAGGTATAAATATGTCTGGAGCTGAAGATTTTATAGCACCACCTCCTCTTGGACCAGAATTAGCAAGTGGAAAATGGAAAGTTCGCATCATAGGTGTGTAAGCTTCTACATTGTCTTATAAGTCTTTTATGATTAATCTGAGATGGGGATGTTTCTTGTGTTTTAGATGGCGATGCAAGAATTACAGAGGAACGAATATCTGGAAAAGAAGTGTGGAGCATGCAAAACCGACGGGTTATGTTTGATTTCAATACAAAAGGACAAGCTATCAAGGATTCTGGAGGTTTGTTTGGTTCGTGGCTAGGCTCAATAAGTAATGATTGTTTTATGCTTCATCAAGTAACTGTTTCCTTTATTTACAGAAAAAATTCTGGTTTGATGACCCAACAAAGAGGAAGAAATATGTTCTATCTACTCTCTAGGATGTAGATGTAGAGACTTGAAGCAACGTCTTTGGGATGCTCATAGACGAAACACAATACAAGAAGCATTTGAATCGCGGCCGGGTCTAGTTCCAGAAGACCAATGGAGAGAGTTTGTGGAAATGCAATTCACTGATAAGGCAAAAAAAATGAGAGAGCGTAATATTAAGAGTCGAAGCAAACATAAGATGCCACATGCACTTGGTAAAAAGAGTTTAGCTAGAAAGGCTCATGAGATGGTAAGATAAGTTACTGAATTCATTAGTACTTACGATTCTCTTTATCTTACTGAATTCATTGCATCCGCTTATTTACTAGGAAGAGGAGACAGGCATAGAACCAAGTCGAAGTGAACTTTTCATTACATCACGTACTAGATCAGATGGAAGTTTTGTTTGTAACGAAGCAAGAATCTCTGTGGTAAGTTCTCTGTATCTTTTAGAAATGTTATGAGGTCATTTTCTCTTTAATATCGCTTATGTTATGTGGTCGTGTGTAGGATAAGCTGAAACAAGTAATGACCGAGAATATTCAAAGTGAAGCACATGATGCATTTGAACAAGTATTTGGTCCTGAGCAACCGGGAAGAGTTCGATGTGTTGGGCGTGGTCCGACGCCATCCAAGTACTTCTCTAATTCAGAATGCAATTCGTCTACTACTACCGAGATGATATATATATAAAGTCTGAAATAAAAGGATTAGCTGATAAACTAGATGTCGTGGCTAATGCTGTGTATGCTCTTATTGAGTCCAGAAAGCAAGAACATATCCAAGTAAGTTCTTTTTGATCTTTAAGTCATTTACATGCTATATTTTTGGGATGTAACACTTTATTTGCAATTTCAGGCGAATGCAAGAGATGAGAACACAAAGCTTAAGACTAATTTTCATCAATCATCTAGTATCAACAGTGATCAGGTAACAAAGTTACACTTGAACGTTGTTATTTGTCTTTATCAATCTTTATATCTTCTATATAACATTCTATATAACACAAACGAACGTTGTTATTTATCTACAGGAAAGTGGCGTTTCGAAGACTTGAATTTGAGTCACGATTTGGATTTCAAAAACTGGTATATTCCTCATTTTTTTGCTGTTAGAGAACGATGTATTTTGTGGTGATTATATATGGTTAGAGAACATATACATAGAAAGAAATGGTTAGAGAACATAGTTGTTTGTGACTTAAGATGCTCTGTTTTTGACTTGAGATTCTGTTTTTGACTGGTATAAATGATCTTTTAGTCATTTATAATGCTTTGTTTTTGTTTGTGATCTCTTTGTTGTTAGAGAACATATGGTTAGAGAACATATATACATAGAAAGAAATGGTTAGAGATCTTTGTTTATAATGCTCTGTTTTTGTTTCTGATCTCTTGCTGTGTTTTTAATTTCAGGTTCCGTGAGGTTTTGCTATGGACTATTCAGACTTAGAACTTATGATTCTCATTGTGTCTTCTTTTCTTTTCTTACTTTAAATTTATTACTAAAACTGGATTGTGATGTAAGAAATGTTATTTGAATCTTGTTTCAAGTGTTATTATATAAAAGAAATCTTACCAACAATTATTCTAATTAATCTAGTTAATTTAGTTAATTTACCAAATGATAGAAAACTGATGTTAGTTTCAAATGACATTAAAAAATAGAAACTTTAAAGTCATTTTTATAAGTAATGCTAAACATAGTGTGATTTTTGTAAGTGATGCTAATAACTTTAGCATCATCCATTGTTGTATCATTTTCACAAATGACCCTAAGTTTTTAAAGTCAATTTTTAAGTAACGTTAACTATCCCAAAAAATGACTTTAAAAACCTTCTTTCTTGTAGTGTTTTCATATGTGTATAGAAAAGCTAATTTTATTTTCTGTGAACAAAATAGCAAACAAAAAAAAATTATAATGTGTTGTTAGAAAATAAAAAAATCAACAAAATACAATATTAAAAAAATAATGATATACATTAGCTGTGACTATTTCAAGATTCAAGGTAAAAATTTACGAGTGTGTGACGGGCATCGATAATTAAAAAGACGGAAATAATATAAATTAATATTAACATTCAATATAAAAAATAGCAAACATAAAACATTAAATTATAATGTGTTGTCAGAAAATAATAAATAAATAAAATACAAAAATAATGATATATATTAACTTTGAGTATTTGAAGATTCAAAGCGGAAATTTAAGAGTGTGTGATGAGAATTGGTAATTAGAAAGACGGAAAATAATTTCCAAAGAAAATCCAAGAAAAATAGAACAGGAAACTCGGGTAACAAGACGAGTTTGAGAAATTGCATTATCTGAAATCTATTTGCAAATTCTCAATAATTTGAGAAAATTCCTGAAAGTTGTGGAAATTTTTCAAAACTATATAATTTAAATTTTTAATTCTTAAATGGATAATTTGGATATGTAATATCATATATAATATATTTTCTTATTTGTTTGAATAAACTAAATAACCTTAAATGGATAATATTTGATCGAAATTGAGATAAGACAAAAAATTCAAGATGAGTACATTGAAAAAAAAAGAATCACAAAATATTCAGAACTATATGATATAATAAATATAATATAAAAAATACATAAAATGATATTCAAATCCCTGTGTTGCGCGAATCACAAACTAAAAATTTGAAAAAAAATTTGAGAGAGATACATGTCAGAAATAGAAACTCATCTTAAAATTCTCAATAATATATGATACAACAAATATAGTACAAAAATGTATAAAAATAAATCACATAGCTGCGCGTAGCACAGATCACCAACTAGTTAATGAGAAAATAAACATTCAGTTTAATATGGTATCAGAGCGCAAAATGCGATTTGAGCTTCTTCCTTCGTCGAACCTTTGATTCTTCTCATTGATGGAGTTTTGAGCTTCTGAATCTTCGAATTCATGTTGATTCCAGTGCGAAATCTTCGTCTTCTTTCAAATTTGATCTTTCTTTTGATATCTTTCGAGATTGTTATCATCAATTTCCTTTCCGCTGTTCTGATTCTACTCCTTTCGATTGTTTGACCTCTGATTGTTGCCATTCTCATTCTTCAATTCACGGCACAGTCTTTCTTTACTATTATTCCGATTTTCTCAGCTCCGATTAAGCAATGGCAACTCCTCGCGTCACTTGCGATACTCCGTTTCTGGATCAGTACAAAAATACGTACTTCCTTCACAGCTCCGATCACACTGGACTGATTCTGGTCTCCGATCGACTTACCTCTGGTGCGGACTTCCATACATGGAGACGATCTGTTCGTATGGCTCTCAATGTCCGTAACAAGCTTGGATTCATCGACGGTACCGTTCCCAAACCTCCTATTAATCATAGAGATTCTGGATCTTGGTCTAGGTGTAACGATATGGTTGCTACTTGGCTTATGAACTCGGTTTCCAAGAAGATTGCCCAGAGTTTGTTATTCTTATCTACTGCTGAATCGATATGGAATAGTCTTATCTTTAGATTCAAACAAGATGATGCTCCTAGGGTCTATGAGATTGAGCAGCGCCTTAGTAATATTCAGCAAGGTTCAATGGACGTTAGTGCTTACTACACTACGTTACTAACTCTCTGGGAGGAATACAAGAACTACGTCGAGCTTCCTGTTTGCACATGTGGTAGATGTGAGTGTAATGCTGCACTGTTATGGGAGAAATTGCAACAGCGGAGCCGCGTCACCAAGTTCCTGATGGCATTAAATGATTAATATGAATCCAGTCGCCATCACATCCTGATTTTGAAGCCGATTCCCTCAATAGATGAGGTCTTAAACATGGTCACTCAGGACGAGAGACAGAAATCAATACGATCAAGTCCGGAGGTGGACAATGTGATTTTCCAGAATTCAGCTCCTTCTAAGACCGAAATTCTCATTTATGATGATCAGATGGAGAATTCTGCTTTTGCTACTCAACACAACAACAATTATTGCCCTAAACAACGGCCCTTATGCACGTATTATGGTCAATATGGTCACATTGTTCAGAAATGCTTCAAGATTCATGGATATCCTCCAGGACACAAGTTTCATACTCCTAATAGTGCCTCTGGACAACAATCTAATCATCCGAGGGGCTTTTCTGAGTTTGGTTCTACCCCTCATGGGCAACACTCGTATAATCCGAGAGGTCAATTTCAGAGCACAAATCCGTTTCCATCTCAAGCCCTCAGCGGGCTAATACGGTTGCCAATGTTATTGCTCCTCAAGGATACATGCCTCCTCAGATATACATGCCTCCATCGGCTACACATCCCATGAATATTGACTACAGTTAGATGAATCCTGCCCAAGTTAATCATCTCATTCAACAACTCCAAAGTCATGTTCGAACTTCTGAGTCTGTGGTTCCTCTTCCCACGGCTTCTGTTACTGAGAATGGATATATGGCACCTCAATCATCATCCGGTACCAACCCTTTTCCTTCATCCAGCCTTCTTTTTTAGAACAACTACCTTACTTTTCAGCATCAATACCTATCTTATCTTTATAATTCTCTTCCAAGTGGTGCTTGGATAATTGACAGTAGAGCTACTACACATGTGTGCTCTGACTTGACATTGTTTAGTGGACTCTCTTCTGTAACTGGTGTTACAGTCTCTTTTCCAAATGGAATAAAAGAACCCATCACTCATACAGGCACTGTGCATATATCATAATCTCTTGTCTTGCATAATGTTCTCCATTTGCCCTCATTTTGTTTTAATCTCATCAGTGTCAGTTGCTTACTAAAGTATAACAAATATTCTGCTCATTTCTATTCTGATTATTGTTTGATCAGGAGTTTACTCGGGGCTTGATGATTGGTAGAGGGTCTCTCTTGCATAATCTCTATATTCTCGACACTGCTGCACCTATCTCATTGAACTTCTGTGGATCCTTGCTCGTAGATGGACATCTCTGGCATCAATGCCTTGGACATCCATCTCCTGCCAAGTTACATCATCTTTCGGGTATATTGTCCTTGTCTAAGTCTAGTTTGTCTAATACTGATCATTTTTCCGTCTGTCCTCTTGCTAAACAGAAACGTCTGGCTTTTGTGTCTCATAATCATTTTTCTTCCTCTCCGTTTGATCTTGTTCATTTAGATATATGAGGTCCGTTTGTTATTGAGTCTGATGAAGGGTATAAATACTTTCTTACTATAGTTGATGATTATACTCGCGTTACATGGATTTATATGCTCAGGAATAAAAGTGATGTTTCTACGGTCTTTCCCACTTTCATTAAACATGTCTCTACTCAATACAGTTCTTGTAATAAACCGATTCACACTGACAATGCTCCTGAGCTTGCGTTTAATACACTAGTTCAGGATCATGGTATGGTACATCAGTTTTCTTGTGCTTACACACCCCAACAAAACTCAGTAGGTGAACGTAAACATCAGCATTTGTTGAATGTAGCTCGTGCTTTGCTTTTTCAATCTAATGTTCCTCTTGCTTACTGGAGTGATTGTGTCTATACTGCGGTATTTTTGGTTAATCGTACTCTTTCTATCTTGCTTAATAAACTGTCTCCTTACGAATTACTTGCTAAGAAAACACCAGACTATTCTTTTCTTCGTTTATTTGGCTGCTTGTGCTATATGTCTACTCTGGCTAAGGATATAAATAAATTCACTCCTAGGGCTGAACCGTGTGTTTTCTTAGGATATCCTTCCAGTTTTAAAGGTTACAAAGTTTTATATTTAGATAATAATGTTGTCTCTGTTACATGTAATGTTGTTTTTCATGAAAATGTCTTTCCATTTCAAACATTGCATTCCAGTCCTCTTGATGATTTGTTTTCTAAGACTATTTTACCTTTGCTGATCCTTGTTAGTCTTGATATGGCTCCTGACATTCATCATTAATCACATGCATCTCCAATACTACCACCTCCGCCTTCTCCTTTACATT